GTCTATAAGCATAATATTTTGTATTTTTATAACAAAGGTAACCTCTACCTTTATAAACTTTACTAGGAGTTACCAGTATTTTTTTTAATAAACTTCAAATATATTTATTGAATACTTCAAAAAGTGTCAAGAAATATTATTTCATTTTTAAATATGTATTGTTGTTTAACATTTATTGGTGGCTTCTATTCTAAAGGTAGAATCTATCTACCTGTTGTGCGGTATCGAAGGACCAGTAAAAATTTTGAGAATTTTACGTTTTTAAATGGATTTATTGCAAAAAACAATAAATGAGTACAATTGTAGCTCTATGTAACGCTGTTGTTATTGCACTGGCGGGAGCTTAGCGGTCCGTTATCCTGCTCGTTTTCGTTCGGGCAAGTTCGGTCAACACAGTTGTTGGTCTGGGCGCTTGGCGCGTGATTTTAAAATATGAATTTAGTCACATTTGCACTAACATACGTCGCCCCCCTTGAAACACTCCAGTGTTTCAAAAGAACTAATGTCACTGTTACGAAATTAGTCTTGATTGGGTAAAACCCAGCACTGGTCGTTTAAGAACACCTGAAGTTGTTTGAACAGTAACAGTCCGTGTGATTCCATCTGTATCTGGATGTAGTTGAATGACTCTTCTCAGTCTCCACTTCAAGGGTGAAAGTCCATCCTCCTTTATGATCACTAGGGATCCAGTTTTTAGTAGTTGTGTTTTATTCTCTCGCCATTTTACTCGCTGCTGAAGTTCTGATATATATTGTTTTGACCATCTCGACCAAAAATGTTGAGAAAGTTTTTGTATTGAAATCTTGAGAGAGTGTTCTCCTTCAATTTAGTGAAGTCGCAGTCTGGTATGGTGTTCATTGTTTGGCCAATTAGAAAGTGCGCAGGGGTTAAAGGGTTAAAGTCGTTAGGATCTTGGGGCATAGGATAAAGTGGTCTGGAATTTAAACATGCCTTTATTTGATATAGAACTGTGCAAAATTCTTCAAAATTTAAGGGCGCGTCGCCAATTACTCGCTTTAAGTGGTATTTCACCGATTTAACACCGGCTTCCCAAATGCCTCCGAAGTGGGGCCCGCGTGGTGGAATGAATTTTCAAAGAATGCCATCATTCGATAGAGAATCAGAAATCTTTTTATTGTTAGCGTTAAAATATTGTCGAATTTTGCTGTTCGCGCCTACAAAGTAGTGCCATTGTCAAATAACATTTGCGAACATTTACCATGTCTTGCCATGAATCTCCTAAGGGCTTATAAAAAACATTCTGAAGTTAGGTCAGAAACAACCTCTAGGTGGATTGCTTTTATGGCAAAGCAAACAAATAGTGTAATATATGCCTTGGTTGTTTTGAAATTTCTTCCCTTTCTATCTCGAAGTAGAAAAGGTCCAGCAAAATCGACGCCAGAATTAGAAAAATGACGAAAAGGAGTTGTTCGTGTGGCAGGCAAATTTCCCATGATATACTGTTCGGGTTTGGCATTGAAACGAAAACATCGTAGGCATTCATGAACAACTCTTTTAACAAGATTACGACCGGACAGTGGCCAAAATGTTTCTCTTATTGAAGCTAAAAGAGCTTGGGGTCCAGCATGCAATAAGGCTAGATGTTCATGATGTGCAACCAGAGTAGAAAAATGATGGTTAGACGGTAATACGAAAGGGTGTTTTTTGGAAAAATCAAATTGTGAAGAATGAAGTCTTCCGCCAACTCGTATGGTTTGAGTGATTGAATCAAAGAATGGGTTTAAACTTAAAACTTTACTTTTATTGTCAAGTTTGGAGTTCGAGAACATCCATGAAATAACAATGGTCGAGTTACACCAATAAGTTACCCGTTGGAAAGTGATGTTGGTTGATGAAGTTACCCTTGATGCTAGTTCAGCTAGTAACAACGCACCACAAAGTTCCAGTCTTTGAAGGGTGGTTTGTTTTAATGGTGCAACGCGGGTTTTGGCAGTGTAAAGTTTGGAAGTTACGTCTCCAAATGTATCTGTACAAGGCAAGTAAATACAAGCTCCATAAGACTTTTCAGATGAGTCCGAAAAGCCATGTAACTGGATAGAAATTGGATTGATGCAAAGTATATGTCTTGGAATTTTTACCTTATTCAGGTGAATCAACTGCGAATGGTATTTTGACCATGTGTAGTAGAGATCAGTGGGTACTGATTCATCCCAGGAAATTTTTAATTTCCAAAGTTGTTGCAGTATGATTTTTGCAGAAATCGTTACTGGTGACAGAAGACCGAGGGGGTCAAAAATTTGTGAAATTATAGAAAGAATTTGTCGTTTAGTTACTTTGACATTGTGTTGTGAGTTGATAGCATATTGAAGATTGTCGTGTTTTGAATCCCACAGTAATCCAAGTGTTTTGTTTTGCTCTTCTCCGATGTGAAGAATGTTGGATTCGAACTTTGATTAAATTGATGTGTCATTTGATGACCATTCTCGAAGTGGAAAACCGTAATCATTCAAGAGTTTGGATAGTTTATCCTTTATTTCCTGGACTTCTTCTTTGGTGTCGCCACCAGTTAGAAGATCATGTACATAAAAATCATGAAGGATGATGGAGCAAATTTTTGGTAAATCATTTTTATGCCGATGAGCAACCTCGTGTAATGATCTTATGGCGAGAAATGGGGCAGAAATAGTACCGCAGGTTACAGTGTTAAGATTGTAAACAAGACACTCGTCATCTGGGTTAAAACGCCAAATAATTCTTTGTAATTTGCGTTGATTGGGTGTTATAAGCACTTGCCTATACATCTTAGCAATGTCTGCGCTTAAAACAATGTTGTGTCGTCTGAATCGCAGAAGGATGTTAAATAAATTGTCTTGTATTGTTGGACCTACTAACATTAGATCGTTGAGTGATATATCTGATATATTTGATGGAAGAACAATCAAATACAACTCGTAATTTGGTCGTTGTTGAACTCTCCTTGAACACAATGATGAGGAAGAAAGAAACCTGAACTCTCTTGTTGGTTCTCATCAAGTGACATGTGATTCAGTTTTAAATACTCGTTGATGAATTCATGATATTAAGTTTTCAAATTGAGGTTTTTATTTAATTTACGTCCTAAATTGAGAAATCGGTTGGTTGCTATTGCTCGAGAATCTCCAAGCTTTGAGATGGAGTCCTTCAGTGGCAACGTGACTATGAAACGACCGTCATCATTTCGAGTGGTGTTTTGTTTGAAGTGATTTTCACAATAAATTTCTTCATTGGAAAAAAATTTTGTTTTTGGATATTCTTCTAACTCCCAGAAATGTGTTTGAGAAGTGTTGAACATTTTAGATGTAACTATTGAACCGGAAATTATCCACCCCAACTTAGTTTTCTGTAATATTGGAGCATGTCCCTAGTTTGATTTGACCAATACACAAGAGGTCCCAAAATGTGTCAGCACCAATCAGTATGTCTACTGGAGCAGGTTGGTGAAAATCAGGGTCAGCAGTGTGAGATTATTTGGAATTGTTAATGTTTCCCTGTTGATTGGAAACGCAGGAATATCTCCGGTTATGTTGGGCAGCACCAAGCATGAAAGTGTTCTCCGAAAGTTGTTTGTTTTGGAATTAATTTCAACAGAGACCATGTAATTTACGGGATAATCCAATTGATTGATTCCAAAAATCGAAATGTCAACTTTAGTTTTGGGTAGATTTAAAATGTTACAGCAACGTTGTGAAATGAAATTAGATTGACTGCCGTTGTCAAGCAAAACTCGGCAATCGTGTGGAGTTCCAGATCTGTCAAAAATTGTCACGACTGCAGTGGAAAGTAAAACCTGAGTATTGATGTGTTGACGGTCAGTGTAACAGAAGTGCTGCGATTAGTAGAAGTAGCACTGTCGCTATCGTTGGCTGTAGTTGTGGCAACATTGTTTGTTGTGGAATCCTTGTTTGGGAAATGCAAAAGCGTATGATGAATTTTACCACACTTCCTACAACCTGTAGACTTACAATCCTTTGTAGAGTGTGTTGTATTTAAACAGTTTATGCAAAGGCGTAAACATTTCGCTGCGTTTAACCTCTCATTTGGACTAAGTTTTGTAAATTCAGAACAGTAATAAATTGTGTGGTCTTTTTCACATAAAGCACATTTTCTTGTTGACACAGATACCAAAAATTTTGAAGATTTGGTAAATGGTTGTTTGTAAAATTGTTGTTGTTTTAAATCGTTTGATTCTATTGATTCTAGAATCCTGCATCGTTCCTTTAAAAAGCTAGTTAAACACTCTAAAGTTGGTAATTCATTAGTACTGTTTTGAAATTCCCAAGCGCGACGTGTAGAATTGTCAAACTTGGAGGAAATCAAATAAATTAATAAATCATCCCATTGATCGGTGGGGTGGTTAAGAACATTTAAAGCGCGTAGCTTTTTTTGCATTCCACCTAAAAGTTGTCTCAAACCCTGGTGAGATTCTTTTGTGATGGTAGGCAAGTTAAAAATTACTTTAATGTAATTGGTGACTAATAAATGTTTATTTTCAAAACGTTTTTCAAGCATTTTCCATGCGACGGAATAATTCGCATCCGAAACTTGCAATGATTTTATTGTATCAGCGGCGGTACCTTTCAGTGAAAGCCACAAATAATTAAATTTTGAACATCCGCAAGGGCACTGCTTTTGTGGATCACTGATAAACAGCTTTTGCAGGAGCGCAGTAATCCACAGGTTTCTCACTTTTTTAACACTTGGTGGTTCAAAATTCGGTTCGGAGGAACCAAAATGTTGTGCGGCATCGGAAGGACCAGTAAAAATATTGAGAATTTCACGTTTTTAAATGGATTTATTGCGAAAAAACAATAAATGAGTACAATCGTAGCTCTATGTAACGCTGTTGTTATTGCACTGGCGGGAGCTTAGCGGTCCGTTATCCTGTTCGTTTTCGTTTGGGCAAGTTCGGTCAACACAGTTGTCGGTCTGGGTGCTTCGCGCGTGATTTTAAAATATTATTATTATTAGTATTTACAAAGAAAAATTTTTTCAGGATTGCAACGGAAAGTTTTCTTGAAAACCCCTCGAGTTTTCGAAGATACTATCAAGGCATGTCTTTTTTCAAACAAACGGTAATCTTTTTTAAACGCAAATTACACTCACATGAAATAGAGATGCAATTTTAAGTTATTTGCAAAATGTATTTTCACTAAACTGAAGAAATATTGGATAGGAAATGCAGAAACCTGAATAAAACCTACACAGGCATTAAAGACAAGATTGGGAACACTGGAACCAGAACCAGGTTGATGAAATACATAGGGAGGACAAAAAACAGTTAACCGCCCTAACCTAATAAACTCGACAGCAGTTCCTGTTATCAGGAAAAAAGCCCTTTGCCGAAAATAAGAAAGACCCACCCGCTATCCCAGTGACTTCCCACTCCAATCAAAGCAACACCTGTGTACCCTAGGTAAGTTTCAACAACTTTTTTATATGTATAATTCAAAAAAATAAAGGCTTATAACATGTTTTTATTTTAGAAGTACCAAAATTAGGGAGTCAAAGGGTTGAATGTTTTATCTACGAAGAAGGCTGACAAATATCTTGTAAGCTCGCAAGCAAGAAAATCCAGAAAGAAACAAATAAAATTTTGCACTTACGTAATTTACAAAAAAAGGGCAATAATTGACTATTTGCAATATCTACTTCCAGGTGTGGTAGCTACTCTTCTAATCATATCAAATGTCTTGCTGTGCAAAAAAATAGACCTCTTTTAATAAGTTTAAAAATGTAGGCCTCGAAAATATTCTAATAAGTTGCCTTCATAACTCCTTACCAGTCTTCGTAATACTTCTGACTTTTTGGTATTGGACAGCTATCACCTTCATTATCCTCAAATATTCGAATTGGTTCGGCTAATTCCAAAGGCATTTGACCAAATTATCCTCCCTCATTTTGTTTTTAATTAAAGTGTCCATAAGGACGTTTCAACTGTCTGATGTAGTAGGTACTAGAGTACAAAGACGTTTCCACTTTATTAACACGTTAAATCAGCAACACAAACACTGAATAAGATATTTTGAAAAAAATCTAAATCTCCAAATCAAAAATACTCAACAAAAATAAGGCACCATAACCTCTACAAACATGTTTTCATTCGCTACCGCTACGTCTCGAAAGCGCTTTGCTACGTCCGCTGGATGTGATCAATCCTAATCTCTTGGACTAATAACTGAGAAACCTCAACAGTCGTCGGTAATGGGCGAATGATCATATTCAATTTGCCCAACTGCCTCTTAAACGAACGAAGAAACGACTAAGACGCTTTTTCTTTGTTTTTCGGTACAACAGCGAAGGAGTGAAGACTACCTGAGTATTGTTGTGCAAATCTTTAGGCATCGGCCCTAATTTTTATTGTTTTCTGTTATTTGGTGAGTCCATTTAACGCATCCAGTTATATATCAGTTTTTGTGGCTGGTAGTTTCCTCCTCTTGGCCCTCTAACCTTAATCATGGGGGACTCTTCGGGGGGCGAGGGCCCCCCGACGGTTAGTGCTGCACAAGAAAATGACAGTTTATCCAATGATTCTCAAAATCGTCCGTTGAACGCCATTATTTGTAACATTTTGCCACCGGATTGCAAAAAAACTGCTGAAGATATTTCCAGGCTCCAGTATTTTGATGTGCTCTCAGGTGAAGAGTTGTCAAAGTTATCGGCAGAGATCCAGATTATCAAGAATCAGTTCGAGCAAGATGCTGAAATCCTGCGGGAAGTTGCCAAAATCTCCGCAAACATAAGAAGGACAGTAAATCGGAAAACAAAATATGAAATCACCGATCAGGGGCCTTTTATGGTGATTCTGGAGAGGATTACAAGTAAGGTGGGGACTCTTCATCCTATGAACTTTGGGAAGTTACTTCAAGCGCAGAAAGTTCAAGGTATATTGAAAATTTCTAGAAAAGGAGCCAATAAAATCGGTTTGGAGTTTAACACCTCTGAGTCTGCAAATAAATTTTTATCTAATGAATCATATTCGACAGCTGGTGGGTATAATAAGTATATACCTCAAAGACTAGTCACTTGCCGAGGGTTGGTGAGGGACATTGGTGACTTAATTGATGAGGATGATTTTTACTCTGAGGCAGAAGCCAAGGTTAACATCGGAAGATCGCTAAAGCGCGTTAAGATTGTTAATGTTCGCAGACTAACTAAAAGGGTCAAATGCCCAGGTGTTTTGCCTGGCACTTTTGGTTTCAAGACAGTTCCATCTAATGATTATATAATAACATTTGAGGGTAAAACTCTTCCAGAATCAATCTGTATCTATAAAAATGAGTGTTCAATCGAAAAATATGTTAGTCCTGTTGTCTTATGTATGAATTGTTGCAGGTTTGGTCATTGGAAAAACCAATGTAAAAGCAAGGGTAGATGTAGTTTCTGCGCTGGAGATCATCCAGTATTTCATTGTGAACTGAAAGAACAGTTTTATAAGAAGAAACCATGCCCGACAGACCACTTAAATCATGAAGGTAAATGCAGCCTGGGTAATTGCGAAATATCTCCAAAGCCAACTTGCATCCACTGTAAAGGCTCTCATCAGGCCACTGATAGATCATGTCCGGAAATGGACAGACAGAAGAAAATCAATGAGGCTATGGCATGGTACAACCTATCCTTTTTTGAAGCGGCCAAACTCTTTCCAAGACGTCCCAAATCAAGTGAGTTTAATCGCTCTAATGAAAATTTCCCTCCTATTCATAACACGGTTGCCCCCGTCTCTCAGCCTTCTCCTAGATCTGATTCTAAAACTTATTCTGTCATAGCAAAAAAGCGTAAGTCCCCCCAAATAGAATCAGGGTATGATAGGGACGCCCACAGGGATTGTCTCGTGCCCCCGTTGACTAGGCAGAAGTTGAATCACACTAGCAAAAGTCAATCTTCTCCCTCATATTTAAATGACATCGTCAGAGTCCGAGATGGACACAGCTTCTCCAGGGGTTTCTTCCTCTGGTGAATTTTGGTATCGGTTTGAAAATTTAAAGAAAAAAGTTTTGTCCAATATACCCAGTAAAAGTGCTTACCATGAAATTGAGAGTCTTTTTGACTCCCTGCCTCCTCCCGGAGGATGCAGGTTTTAATTTATTAATGTTCCCAGATCGACAGTCAAATCTTTCTGTTAAAATTAGTAATTTCTCAATTATTCACTGGAACACTTGCGGTATTAGAAGTAATCGTGATAGTATTATTAGACTTATTCGTGACTTTGGTCCTGATATAGTCATGATTAATGAATCTTTTTTACTCCCACATATAAGTTTTCCTTGTCTGGTTTCTCCTTTGTCAGGGACGATCATATGGATGGGTATGGAGGGATTATTGTTTTTTTACGCTCCAACATCGGGTATAATGTTTTAGATGTGTCAGATATCCCCAGGCCAGATAGATGTCAGGTTATAGTGTTGGAGATGGACAGCCTTTTTCTAGTTTCGATGTATAATCCTCCTGACCTTCCTATGTCTCGTTTGTTCTTAGATACTTTGGTTGATAGACTTAGGTCAAAACCCGTTTTTTTTTTGCTGGTGATGTAAATTCTCATAATGAAGAGTGGGGCTCTACAATTAAAAGCTATGTCGGTCTGGCTAACGGCTCTTTACTATCAGACTTTATTAATGATAACAACTTCTTTATTCTTAATGACGGGTCTGCCACCCGATTTACAGGGAATGAATCCCGTTCTGTCCCCGATTTGGTATTTTGTTCACACGAATTGGCTCATGTTGCTGATTTCCGGGTGTTATTCGACAGAGGGTTTAGCGATCATTTCCCGATACTGTGTCATATTCGGTGTAAACCGGACAGTTCACATCATCCTGCTCACAATGTTTCTAAGGCAGAGTGGGACAAATTCTCTGAATTGATTAGTATTGGTTTAAGCAACCCCCTTATTACGTCATACATCACGAGTGCTCGTTAATGATCGCTAAAAAGAGAGAGGCTTTTAGAAATTATAAAATTTCCCCTACTCTAGAGAATTATGTTAATGTAAAAAGAACTCGGGCCAGTTGTAGAAAATTTCTTAGGGAAAAGAAAAGGGCGGGATTTAAAAAATTTTGCCAGAGTTTATCTCCCAATGAGAGTGCTAGGTATGTATGGAAATGTGTGAAAAAATTTTCAAAGGCTATTAACCGGGCTAATTGTCACCTCCCACTTAACTTTTCAGTACCGGCGGAATTGTTGGACTCCTTAGTGGGTCATGCCGATGGTGTCGTTGAGGAGACAAGTTTAGAGGGGGATAACAACACTGCAGTTTCTCCCTTGTTCACTCTTGATGAGTTTATCGCTGTAGTTAGAAGTCGTAAAAACACATGCCCCGGCTTGGATAGAGTTTCTTTTGAGTTAATAAAGCATCTACCAATAGAGGGAGCCGTGTTCTTAGTGAATTTTTACAACAAATTATTGAGAAATGAGTGCAGTATACCTGATAGTTGGAAGACGCAGCTGGTTGTTCCAATATTAAAGCCGTTTAGGGATCCTAATCTTCTTAGTTCTTATAGGCCGATTAATTTGTCATCTACATTCGGTAAAGTGCTGGAGTCAATATTAAAGTGCCGAGTAGAGTGGTTTCTTGAACATCACAGATTGCTATCAGAATCTCAAACCGGCTTTAGGCGCGGTAAGTCCGTTATGGATAATGTTTCCATCATAACAAGTCATATTTTGTGTGCTCAGAGCAAAAGTGTTCCTACTGTTATGGTTGCATTGGATATTGTGGGTGCGTATGATAATGTTAACATCCCCACGCTAATAAAGGAGATGGATAAGCAGGGTATACCTAGGGATGCTATAGGGATAATCAATCGACTTCTCCTCAACAGGAACCTATTTGTTAAGGATGCTGTTGGGCACCTTTTGGTCGGACCTAGATCAACCAGTAAGGGGGTCCCTCAGGGATCTCCCTTAGCGCCTCTTTTATTCAATATATACGTAAATTCAATTAAGTTAGTAATTCCTCATAGGGTTTCTATTTTCCAGTATGCGGATGATATTGTTCTTCTATGTAGCGATGTCAATGTCCTCTTTGCTATAGACTTGATGAATAAAGCCTTGGTGGCAGTGGCTGATTGGATGCATAGGTTTAACTTGCAGCTTAGTCCGCAAAAGTCGTCTGCTATTTTATTCTCTAGATCTGCTTTGGTTGGACTTCCCGACTTGGTAATTAATAGTGTAAATATTCCCTGGAAAAATGAAATTAGGTACCTGGGAGTTACATTTGATGCTAAGCTTACGTGGGTTCCACAGGTTGGCAGAATGATTCACAAGGCAGCTAGTGGAATTAATATTATGAGATTTCTATCCAGGACATGGTGGGGAGCCCATCCGTCTACTCTTCTGATATTTTATAAAGCTTTTGTGCGTTCCCATCTTGACTATGGTTCTATGGTACTGGGGTGCTGTGGGAAAAAAACCCTGTCTGGTCTGGATAGGATTCAATATCAGGCTTTAAGAGTGACATTGGGTATGATGAAATCAACTCCAATTAATATTTTATCGGGAGAGGCTTGTGAAACAAGTTTGGAGGTGAGGAGGATTATGTTGGCTTCTAAGTTTTTGGTCAAGTCCCTTAGAATCAGAAATAATCCTAGTTTCTTAGCTACCCAACGATTATATATTGCCTATCAAGAAAATCATAACTTTTTTAGAAGGAAGGCGAATTTACCCTTAGTTGAGGCATTTGACTACACCGCCACATATCATAATATTATCGATAGTGGAGACGTTCTAGCGTGTTTTAATAAGGAGCTGGCCCCTCAGCTTACGCCTATTAATTTTGTTAATTCCAAAATTGAGAAAGGGGTGGGTCTAAATGAAACTGAGTTTCGGGAATTTTGTTCTAAAATGTGGACCGGGGAAGAGTCATTTATATTTACCGATGCCTCTAAGGGACCAGATGATAGAGTTGGCTTTGGAGTATTTATTCCGTCTCTCAATGTTAGGGTCGGGCATGGGTTGAATAGCGCGTTTTGTATTTGCTCTGCAGAAATGGTAGCTATTAGTTACGCCCTAGATCTTATATTAGATTATAATATTAAACGGGCAGTAATTGTCTCCGATTCCAAAAGTGCCCTGCAGAGCTTCGGATGCAGTGCGGTTGAAGCTTCCAACAGCTACATTCTACTAGATATTAAAGCAAAGATTGATATTTTGAAGCGCAGACTTGGGCGGAAAATATCGTTATGCTGGATTCCAAGCCATTCGGGGATAAGACATAATGAAACGGTGGATAGAATAGCCTCAGAAGCTAGACTTTTAGACCCGCTGAATTTAAGGCCCCCTTTTAGTGAATTTATCCCGATAATTAGAGCAAAGATGTGGCACATCTGGGCCATCAAGTGGAGAGAGTGGGGCCGGTCAAAGGGCAGACTTTATAGTGCAGTTTATAAGACACCTCCAACAGTTCCATGGTTCCACAAACTGCAGCTGTCTAGAAAGGAGATTACAACAGTGTGCAGAATGAGGAGTAATCATTGTAGTTCCCCAGCACATCTTTACAAGATAAACGTCAAAATATCTAACCTGTGTGCTTGTGGAGGGGTGGGAGATATTGAACATATTTTGTTTGATTGAACTTTAAAGTTTAGTCTCCTTCGCTGGAGAAGATCTGACAATCCTCGACATTTGGAACTTCAAAAATCAGCCTTCTTCGCCAAAGAAGATACGAAAATCCTCGACATTTAGAACTTCAAAATTCTGTCTCCTTCCTGGAGAAGATCCGAGAATTTCGACGGAAGTCGGCAATGGGCGAATGATCCTGGTAGTCGTGCCCAACAGCTATCTGTGAAACGCATCATTGAATTGAATTGAATTGAAGCTTTTTCTGTTAGGACTGTGTGTGCCGATTCGCAAATGTAATTTTCAAGATAAAAAGTTACAAAGGGTATTAGATTAGCTTTGTTTTTTTGGAAATTGTTCTGAAATGAAGTATATGCAAGTCTATGTTTAACAATGTGAAAGTTTCTTTTTTTGGGACCAAGTCCAAGTATTGCTATGTAAGCTTTAAAAAATTTATCATGTCCAAACCAGACTCGCATTCGAAGAAATTCAATAATTCCAAAGCTGCGGCCAAACCAAAATCTAAAAGCACTGAAAGTTTATTTGCCAACTTCACCATGTGGTCATCATCTAACAGCGGTAGATTTAATCCCCCATTGCCTTCAAATTATTCGCTATATGGTTTATATTGGCAATCAGTTTTGCAGCAAAACCAATTATGTGATCCATTTAATACTTTCCTGCCACAGCATCAGCAAATAAGCAAATTGACAAGTAATGCTCAGCATCAAATATATCATTTATCTCGAGTTATCAACAGACAATGCAAAGACACTCGTAGAAATAGAAGTGCTGGTGGAAAACCCAGAAATTGTTTGAATGAATTAACAAAGGGTAAGTCTGAAGTGAAAACTTCATGTTTGTTCTTAAAGTCTGGGTGTGGGTTTTTTTTCAGTTTGTGAACTACTCTGCAAAAGAAATGGGGATTTTACATTCACTGTTATGTCTTACAATGTACTAGCACAAGATTTAATTAAAGAACACCCAGAACTTTACAGAATGCATGACCCAAATGCTCTAAGGTGGAATGTTAGGTGGCGAAATTTGTATAATGAAATTAAAGTTCTTAGTCCTGATGTAAGCATGATGAGATAAATGTATCTGTGATTGATTTTATTGAAAATGCTTTTGTACAGATTATGTGTCTTCAGGAGGTGCAAAATTCACATATTGGAGCATATTATGATAAACTTGAAGCACTCGGTAAGATGTGACTCTATATGACAGTTCCAATATTAATTCTGTTGAATTGTAAGGTTACATTGGTATATATAAAAAACGAACCGGGTGTAGAGTTGATGGTTGCGCTATATTCTATAAAGCCCATTTGTTTGCCTTGGAGGAATATGAGACTGTAGAGTTTTTTCAGCCCAATGTGCCAATATTAAACCGGGATAATGTTGGCATAATTGCAACATTTTCACCCAAACGCCATCCGCACAAGTCATTTGTAATTGCAACTACACACACATCTATTGTACAATCCCAAACGTGAGGATGTACGTTTGGCTCAAATGCAGTTGCTGCTTACAGAAGTAGAGAGGTTGAGTTTCAGATATAAATTCAAGTGAGTGGGCCATGTTTAGTCAGTATCCATATGTGAAAGTTTTTATTTTAGGTTGAAAAATCCTTATTTGCCTATAATTCTGACAGGTGATTTAAATTCAACCCCAGATTCAGAAGTGTACAGCTTTTTAACTAAAGATTCATTGAACTATGAACATCTTAGTAATAGGTCTGTAATTGAAGTAAGCAGTAATAAGCAGAAAAAGTTTTTGGTGCCACCTCATTTGGGTATAACAGGTAATGAAGATTTAATGTTTTGTTTCATTGAACTGTTTCATGTGTCAATAGTATCAAAAGTAGTGTTTTTAGAGTGTATAACCTTGCTTGCAAAACATTAGCCTAGCTTTCAAAGATTCTGGATTCCTCCTGCGTCTGTTGTTGAATCTAAATAGCAATTATATGGTATTTTGTTTATTGTTAATATTGATTTGTTCTCATTTAATCTTGTATGGTTTGATGAAGTCAAAAGTCGGTGCTTCTACCTGCTACTTCTGCGACAAATAAAAGATTCTGCAAACTGAATTTTCTTACCCCTTTTGATTTTTGAAATACAGAATATTTTTGGAAGCTTTGTATTTTGAAACACCCGTTGTATCACAGTTAATTCTAACGAAAAGTAAAACTGGGTTTGTTGCCGTTTTTTACATAGAATTGAGTGGTATACTCGGTTTTTTTCTATCTTCAATTATTTTCGAGTAACAAACCAAACATATTTAATGGGTCGCCCGGTTGTTCTCAATATTACGTCTAATATTTAAGTTTTGAAAAAAAAATCGATTTTTTTAGTTAACCATTGACAGGGTATAAAAAAACTTTATTTAATTTAAAACAGAACAATTTTGGTAAGTTTTATTTAACCAAAAAGAAATACACATTTTTTGACCCCTAATATAATAATAATAATAATACAGTCGAACTGCGATTTGACACATGAAAATTTCGAGTTATCAATAAAAACTACAAATGCATGTACTTTTTTGTGAATGAACATTTATTCATTCATTTTTAAAAATGGATTATACCTTACATAAATGCCCTAATATCTATGATTTTAAATATATAAACATAGTATGTATGCACATATACATACATATGTATGTACATATTAAAGTTTACTCTTTCACTGGAAAAAAGTCAGTTATTTGTGACTGACGACCGGATTTCTTATTTTGGTTTTCAACATAAGCTTCAATTTTATTTAAACAATCATAAAGGGAATCGGTGGTGTTTTCACTGGTTTTCAAATAGGAACGCAAGACAATCAACGAATTTTCAACCAATTTATTTGAAGGTGATTGCTAAGAATTATGTTCCAATTCCTCCTCCATCGTGTCACTTTCGCAGGTATCTTCTATGTTTAACTGTACCGGTTCGGATCTGCAGGACTCGATAATATCTTCCTCAGTAGGAAACTCTGAAGTAACAATATTCTCATCCACATGTATAAAATCGTTGATGATGCTACCTTCTGCTATACCTCTCATGTTTGTCCAAGCTTTAACTCGATTTCTATTTGGATTTCGTCTTGACTCTTTTCTTTCAGGTGTTCACTTAGGAAAATCAAGGGAATCTCATCTTCTTCTTCTCATTCAGAATACTGACCTAAACCGGCATTTTTAAAACAATTGGAAATTGTTTCAGGCTTAACGTTGATATTCCATGCGGTAGTTACGTCGTCAACACAATCCATTAGTGTAATGTTATTGTTTTTGTTTTCTTCGAAACGTTCCATTGCGGTGATGACTGAATGTTTATTTTTCAAAATTGTAGACACTGTACTTGCCGAAAGCCCATACTTCACAGCTACATCTTTATTTTTTGAGCCACTTTCCACTTCTTTTATAACCTTGAATTTTTGATCAAAAGACAAAGCTTTCAAAGTACGTTTTGATGACATATCAACAAATGCAAAAATCCAAAAATGTCTTTAATATAATGTGTAAATTGAATAGGGACAGTATTTTTCACTTAGTATTAACTAGTAAGTCATACAAGTGAACTTAGCAAGCACAGAAACTGAACTGCTTGCATAGATACGTTACAAAGACAGGTTAAGATCGGTTGTAATTAGGGGGTTCTCCGAGAAAATTCGACTTATCGAAGTTGGCACCAAATGTGTCGTTCAAGTTATCAAGATATTTGAGTAATCGAAGTTCGAGTAATCAAGACAAACTAACACGCATTTCCTACTTTTGACGCTATTGCCAACCAATTTGGTTCGACTTATCAAAAATTCGAGTTATCGAAGTTCGACTGTAATAATATTATTATTAAAAAAATAAAAACAGACAACCTGGTTCTAATCATGCAAAAGAAAAAATCATAAATTGTTGAAAACGGATCGCAAGTGTTGCTTAAATTGTTCTCCATTAAGTCTTAAACATATTTCACACATAGTTCTTATGCTTCTTATAGTATTTATAAAGGTTATTTTATTCATTTCATATATTCTGCCATTGTTCGGTACTGGATGGTATATTGGAAGAAATCCAAAATTGATAAATCCAGTGACCTAAGTGGCCTTATCCAGTAGCATCGAAATGAAGGAGAAAACCTGAAATATTAAAGCGGCCCTTCCCGTGAAAATGCTACGTGCTGATTTTCTTATTGACACGAAAATCATGAGTTTTTTTGATTTAATATAGTAGCACTTGTGAAATCAGCTTGGTCAGACCATATAACGGAATTTTCAAAATTATTTTCCGAATTTACTTTATGTGAGTTCCCACTATCAAACTCTATTCGGCGCTATGCATTGGCAGGATGTAAGTTTTGAACCAGATGAAATTTATATTTGTTGAGTTGGTTTTTTTAAGATCGTTTCAACCAGTGATTTCATAATTCATAATTAAAAAGGCAAACAATTTGCCACCACTGCAATTTATTTTGACACTCTTAATTAAGTTGTGATTTCCGTTTTTTGGGTTCATTATGGGTTCATTAGGGGTCTATCGGTACTCGGTAGTACGATGCGGCAAAAAAGACACGTTTTAATTCGTCGGTCGTGATTTCTCTCCTTACTCTTTTGGTCGTTTCAATAGACTTTTATTTAGTGAGTATATAATTAACAATTATCTATTAGTGACAATTTAGAGTGTTCTAATCTCCTAAGCTCTCCAGCTCCCCGCGTAATCCGGGACTATCACTAAGATTAAAAATATACTAAGGTAAGACCTCAATTCTTTTACTTCATACACATTTTACAGTCCACTTTTCTCTCCAATCTGGCTATTGTCTAGTTGGTCAAATTAACAAATATCCTTCTTTTGTCTGTTACAAATATTAGAAAATGATCCATCTTGAATTATTTAAGAACTAGATGATAATAAATAGTTTTGGCTAGAACCAAATACAATAATGCAAACCTGTTGAAATATACTTCTAGAGCTTCATTATGTCTTTTTCTAAGTTTTCAAATTTAATATTGACTGTCATGGACACCCAATACATGGACAGAGGTCTTTGTTTTCATTCAAAAATAAGATATGTTAAAAATCTGATTACAAATTAAAACTAATTTAAAACCAATAGAAAAACATGTTTTCGGGAAGTTTGGTATTGTCTCTACCTGCTCATCTTGATCTTTGTATGGTCTCTTTTCTTACAATTTTTATAGAATACAGAGGTGTAGAAGACTTGTGTTCCATGTGTAATGAAATAATCTATGAAGAAGAGAGCATGTAAGTCATCATGTTATAGAAATGTTTGGCCATAACATCGCTTAGTGCAATATGTTCATATGGGCCTCATTTGCATCAAGTCTTAAAATCTAAAAAGAACTCAGTTACTTGGCGGAGCTAATATGTCAAAGGTGAATATGAAGAGTTTCGTGTCGATAGAATATTGTCTCTATAGTGATATGTGTAATTTATGAGCCTTTTTTGTACCTGTGTAAAGTTTTTAATGATAGTAATCTTTATTGTGTAACAGAGAACTGTTTCTTTACAAGATTTATTCTAACATCTGTAAACTAGTAACTCTCCAGTAAATTAGTAGCACAAGCAACTACATTATATGCACTATACCACAAATCTATGTGTAATTAATTTGACGGAAAACGTCCATGTCGTTACAAAAGAGATTAAATACTTCTTCAATAAGTACTTCCTCAACTGAAGAACTTTGATCAAACATTGTTTTTTGAGGTTATGAAGTGAAATACAGTCCTGGAGGGTACAATAAACAACTGTGTGGCAGTTCCATAGCCATTTACCATTCACATAAAACTGCAAAAATTGTAGAAACTTTGTGTGTTTTCAGTTTGGGTGATGTACTTGTTAAATATTTGGTGCCATATTGGTGAACGTATATAACTAAAGTATTTTAAAATGTGTTCAACATTTCTAGTGTATCTCCATAGACTTGATCAATGACTGTTTAACTCTTTTAACAGGTAATTTTTTTATGGTAATTTGTAGAAATTGCATCCTGTCTGCCGGGCTTTAAAATAAGCTTTAACAGCGAAAGGATATAATACTAGATTATTTTAATCGTCTGTGGGGAAAATTTTTCTGTACCAGACGACGCGCAGACGAACATTTTTAAAATGCCACATAATTTTCCCTTTATAATTACATCACATATTTTCTTCAGGTTTTGGCTAGTTAGTAGTAGTAGTTAGCAACCCAACATTACAAAGCAAGAAAATCAATGGCGCCAATTGACGACCCTTTTCATACTGTAGACTGTTACACAGATATGATTTTATGATTTGTGTTATTTTGTTGCAAAAGTTTTATTATTCCATGCAATAAAGATTATTTTATTCATTTTTTATTTTTTATTTAGTTGGGGTTCCTGCTTATCATACAGACAAGACACAACCATCAATGATTTCTCGTTTAATAAAGATATTGACAATTTCAGTGTTGCTATTGAGTATATTAATACATTGCAGATGATTCTCAACATTTTCTATTGTTGGAGCAGAGAAAAACCAATCGACAAATATCAAGGTCTCTCGAAAAAGCTCTGATTCAGTTGCACAACAGCGAGAGAGACGTAAGCGTAGTAAGCTCGGAGAATTTAACGAAAAACTTTGAGCTTTTCGGTTCGGGCTCTATTAAGCACAAATTCTCTTTGAAATCTGTTTATGCATATAATACGGAAAATCCTGAAGGTACCACTTTTCAAAATCGATGGTTGATGGTAGATTATATATTTTACAGGTAAGATTATTTTCGTTTCTTATATGTTTTGATCGCCAACGTTTTATAGTTGGTTTGCATGCAGAGTATTCAAAATAAGATTCCCTACCTTCTTAATTCAGAAATGAACGATATGAAAATATGTTAAATACAAAACTTGTAGAGTTTCATCTAGATTTTTTAACTTTGAATTTTTTATGTAGCGTTCTATTCATCTGGGGTAAATTCCACCGTTCTTATTTATAACATAGCACCTTGTATATTATAGGATTTTTTAATTCCTGGGGACATTCGAGTAATATTTCATGTATATAATTCTATGTGTAAGTCTTGTTCTTCGAATTCCTGAATTTTATGTCCAAAATGACATTGACAGGCGCTAAAATAATAATTTTTCCTATAAGGGAACCTTAATTATTTAATTTTGAGTCGACTGCTTGTCAAAGAGAGCCTATTCTAATATACTTAGTCGATATTTTGGATGTCAATTAATAAGGAGTGAGCAAAAATTAGGTACCAAATTGAAATTATATAAATCGTAAAAAGTCAACCCCCTATTTTTCTAATTTTATCCTATTTGGTATCAAAATTAAGGTAATTTTGTAAAAGACTGTATATTACAGAAATGCATAGTTTCCGAATTAATTGTCAATTTAACATTTTCCTATTTCAATAATGTTATAATTCGGATGTTGTTTTGTTATTAGTTGGCCTCATTTAGCTACTAGACATATGGACGCCCTGACTATGCTGACAGTACAGGAACTTATGAAGCAACTACGTAAAAAATTTTTGAGAAGATTGAGATATATCGAAATCCTATTAAATTTTCAGTCAGAGGTGCAATAGTAGGTATGCGGAATTACAGCACCTGCATTTTGGTCTTGAAGCCGTGTAGATACAAGTATTTCTACATGTATTTTTTGATGTTAGCTATTTTTTTTTCCGAAATTGTGCTTGTAAATCGTCGCAAAGTGTTAGTTTTAATAAACTTATAGGTTTAACCTCTATTGAAAATGTAAACAAAATCAAAATCACCAAAAATGGTTCTTAAAAGTTTAAACATAACTTTGAGATACTAGGTATCACACAGGAAACCTCTAAATGGAAAAAATGTTCAACAAGCACCTCCTATTGAGAGAACGCGCATTCCTTTATCCAAAGTTTAGTGGACAATTTGTTTCAAAAAATGTTGGTATTAGAACATCTCTTTTTCAATATGCAACCTAAATTAGACCTAAATGTAAGCGAAAACTCCTAAAAATAGAATTTTCCAAACAACAGCAGAGTTAGAGGACGTCACTTGAGAAGCGTTTGCTTGCATCAATCCTATAACGTTAATGAATAGTTGCCATTTAGTATGAAAAAGGTGTGCTCAGTGTATTGAAGAGGGCTGCACCCAATTTGAACAATTAATGCAAAAGGTTGGGTCAATTTGAATATGTATTAAAATAAAGTTTTCGTTTGATAAAATGTAACACATCATACTTTTCATAATTTTGGTACATTTTAAATTGCTAAAATAATTGTCGCAAATATATTGGGTATATTTTTTTGGTCTTTCTCTCATGTACATCCTTCCTGTAAGCAACTGCTAAAATGCCTGGCTTGCGTTCAAATGTTCATTGTGTTGTTCCTTCCTTAAAATGAATACACAATTCTCAACCATTGCTGATGCTTGACATTTTGTTAATGTTCATTTGAGATATCTTTTTCCAATAACTGCAATACACATATTTTCTAATCTTTTGTTGCTTCTTTTCTGGTGTTAAACGGTTCAAATAATTTTATTCCAGCTACATTTCCTTTTATTTGACGCACAATCCAGTGCCTTGTCCAACTAAAAGTCTATAAGCATAATATTTTGTATTTTTATATCAAAGGTAACCTCTACCTTTATAAACTTTACTAGGAGTTACCAGTATTTTTTTTAATAAACTTCAAATATATTTATTGAATACTTCAAAAAGTGTCAAGAAATATTTTTTCATTTTTAAATATGTATTGTTGTTTAACATTTATTGGTGGCTTCTATTCTAAAGGTAGAATCTATCTACCTGTTGTGCGGTATCGAAGGACCAGTAAAAATTTTGAGAATTTTACGTTTTTAAATGGATTTATTGCAAAAAAACAATAAATGAGTACAATTGTAGCTCTATGTAACGCTGTTGTTATTGCACTGGCGGGAGCTTAGCGGTCCGTTATCCTGTTCGTTTTCGTTCGGGCAAGTTCGGTCAACACAGTTGTCGGTCTGGGCGCTTGGCGCGTGATTTTAAAATATGAATTTAGTCACATTTGCACTAACATACGTCGCCCCCCTTGAAACACTCCAGTGTTTCAAAAGAACTAATGTCACTGTTACGAAATTAGTCTTGATTGGGTAAAACCCAGCACTTTATCACTGGTCGTTTAAGAACACCTGAAGTTGTTTGAACAGTAACAGTCCGTGTGATTCCATCTGTATCTGGATGTAGTTGATTGACTCTTCCCAGTCTCCACTTCAAGGGTGAAAGTCCATCCTCCTTTATGATCACTAGGGATCCAGTTTTTAGTAGTTGTGTTTGTATTTCACCGATTTAACACCGGCTTCCCAAATGCCTCCGAAGTGGGGCGCGCGTGGTGGAATGAATTTTCAAAGAATGCCATCATTCGATAGAGAATCAGAAATCTTTTTATTGTTAGCGTTAAAATATTGTCGAATTTTGCTGTTCGCGCCTACAAAGTAGTGCCATTGTCAAATAACATTTGCGAACATTTACCACGTCTTGCCATAAATCTCCTAAGGGCTTCTAAAAAACATTCTGAAGTTAGGTCAGAAACAACCTCTAGGTGGATTGCTTTTATGGCAAAGCAAACAAATAGTGCAATATATGCCTTGGTTGTTTTGAAATTTCTTCCCTTTCTATCTCGAAGTAGAAAAGGTCCAGCAAAATCGACGCCAGAAATAGAAAAATGACGAAAAGGAGTTGTTCGTGTGGCAGGCAAATTTCCCATGATATACTGTTCGGGTTTGGCATTGAAACGAAAACATCGTAGGCATTCATGAACAACTCTTTTAACAAGATTACGACCGGACAGTGGCCAAAATGTTTCTCTTATTGAAGCTAAAAGAGCTTGGGGTCCAGCATGCAATAAGGCTAGATGTTCATGACGTGCAACCAGAGTAGAAAAATGATGGTTAGACGGTAATACGAAAGGGTGTTTTTTGGAAAAGTCAAATTGTGAAGAATGAAGTCTTCCGCCAACTCGTATGGTTTGAGTGATTGAATCAAAGAATGGGTTTAAACTTAAAAGTTTACTTTTATTGGCAAGTTTGGAGTTCGAGAACAGTCTTTGGTAATGGTTTAAAGAATTACATAATTCGCAAGGCGTTAAAGAACCAAAAGTACGTGCATTTTGTTCTTTAGTATTGTTTATGAATCTATGTACATAGGCAAATACTCGCTTGAGTTTCAACAAAGACGAAAATCGAAAAATGAGAATGATTTTTTCATAAGTCGTGAAAAAGTTTTTTGCCGCAGCTCTGGCAAAATAGTTGCCCTTTTACAAGGTATTTGTGTGGGCTAATGATTTTCTGATTGAATTAACCATTTTGGGCCATGAAACCAAATTTCTGATTCTGAAAGTTTTGTCGGTTCGATGCCTCTTGAACAGAGATCAGCGGGATTGTCAAATGCATTTACATATTTCCAAGAATCTGGAACAGTTAAAGCCTGGATTTGTGATATTCTGTTGGACACAAAGGTTTTTGGTAGAGAAGGAGATGTGGATATCCATGAAATAACAATGGTCGAGTTACACCAATAAGTTACCCGTTGGAAAGTGATGTTGGTTGATGAAGTTACCCTTGATGCTAGTTCAGCTAGTAACAACGCACCACAAAGTTCCAGTCTTTGAAGGGGGGTTTGTTTTAATGGTGCAACGCGGGTTTTGGCAGTGTAAAGTTTGGAAGTTACGTCTCCAAATGTATCTGTACAAGGCAAGTAAATACAAGCTCCATAAGACTTTTCAGATGAGTCCGAAAAGCCATGTAACTGGATAGAAATTGGATTGATGCAAAGTATATGTCTTGGAATTTTTACCTTATTCAGGTGAATCAACTGCGAATGGTATTTTGACCATGTGTAGTAGAGATCAGTGGGTACTGATTCATCCCAGGAAATTTTTAATTTCCAAAGTTGTTGCAGTATGATTTTTGCAGAAATCGTTACTGGTGACAGAAGACCGAGGGGGTCAAAAATTTGTGAAATTATAGAAAGAATTTGTCGTTTAGTTACTTTGACATTGTGTCGTGAGTTGATAGCATATTGAAGATTGTCGTGTTTTGAATCCCACAGTAATCCAAGTGTTTTGTTTTGCTCTTCTCCGATGTGAAGAATGTTGGATTCGAACTTTGATTAAATTGATGTGTCATTTGATGACCATTCTCGAAGTGGAAAACCGTAATCATTCAAGAGTTTGGATAGTTTATCCTTTATTTCCTGGACTTCTTCTTTGGTGTCGCCACCAGTTAGAAGATCATGTACATAAAAATCATGAAGGATGATGGAGCAAATTTTTGGTAAATCATTTTTATGCCGATGAGCAACCTCGTGTAATGATCTTATGGCGAGAAATGGGGCAGAAATAGTACCGCAGGTTACAGTGTTAAGATTGTAAACAAGACACTCGTCATCTGGGTTAAAACGCCAAATAATTCTTTGTAATTTGCGTTGATTGGGTGTTATAAGCACTTGCCTATACATCTTAGCAATGTCTGCGCTTAAAACAATGTTATGTCGTCTGAATCGCAGAAGGATGTTAAGTAAATTGTCTTGTATTGTTGGACCTACTAACATTAGATCGTTGAGTGATATATCTGATATATTTGATGGAAGAACAATCAAATACAACTCGTAATTTGGTCGTTGTTGAACTCTCCTTGAACACACAATGATGAGGAAGAAAGAAACCTGAACTCTCTTGTTGGTTCTCATCAAGTGACATGTGATTCAGTTTTAAATACTCGTTGATGAATTCATGATATTAAGTTTTCAAATTGAGGTTTTTATTTAATTTACGTCCTAAATTGAGAAATCGGTTGGTTGCTATTGCTCGAGAATCTCCAAGCTTTGAGATGGAGTCCTTCAGTGGCAACGTGACTATGAAACGACCGTCATCATTTCGAGTGGTGTTTTGTTTGAAGTGATTTTCACAATAAATTTCTTCATTGGAAAAAAATTTTGTTTTTGGATATTCTTCTAACTCCCAGAAATGTGTTTGAGAAGTGTTGAACATTTTAGATGTAATTATTGAACCGGAAATTATCCACCCCAACTTAGTTTTCTGTAATATTGGAGCATGTCCCTAGTTTGATTTGACCAATACACAAGAGGTCCCAAAATGTGTCAGCACCAATCAGTATGTCTACTGGAGCAGGTTGGTGAAAATCAGGGTCAGCAGTGTGAGATTATTTGGAATTGTTAATGTTTCCCTGTTGATTGGAAACGCAGGAATATCTCCGGTTATGTTGGGCAGCACCAAGCATGAAAGTGTTCTCCGAAAGTTGTTTGTTTTGGAATTAATTTCAACAGAGACCATGTAATTTACGGGATAATCCAATTGATTGATTCCAAAAATCGAAATGTCAACTTTAGTTTTGGGTAGATTTAAAATGTTACAGCAACGTTGTGAAATGAAATTAGATTGACTGCCGTTGTCAAGCAAAACTCGGCAATCGTGTGGAGTTCCAGATCTGTCAAAAATTGTCACGACTGCAGTGGAAAGTAAAACCTGAGTATTGATGTGTTGACGGTCAGTGTAACAGAAGTGCTGCGATTAGTAGAAGTAGCACTGTCGCTAAAGTTGGCTGTAGTTGTGGCAACATTGTTTGTTGTGGAATCCTTGTTTGGGAAATGCAAAAGCGTATGATGAATTTTACCACACTTCCTACAACCTGTAGACTTACAATCCTTTGTAGAGTGTGTTGTATTTAAACAGTTTATGCAAAGGCGTAAACATTTCGCTGCGTTTAACCTCTCATTTGGACTAAGTTTTGTAAATTCAGAACAGTAATAAATTGTGTGGTCTTTTTCACATAAAGCACATTTTCTTGTTGACACAGATACCAAAAATTTTGAAGATTTGGTAAATGGTTGTTTGTAAAATTGTTGTTGTTTTAAATCGTTTGATTCTATTGATTCTAGAATCCTGCATCGTTCCTTTAAAAAGCTAGTTAAACACTCTAAAGTTGGTAATTCATTAGTACTGTTTTGAAATTCCCAAGCGCGACGTGTAGAATTGTCAAACTTGGAGGAAATCAAATAAATTAATAAATCATCCCATTGATCGGTGGGGTGGTTAAGAACATTTAAAGCGCGTAGCTTTTTTTGCATTCCACCTAAAAGTTGTCTCAAACCCTGGTGAGATTCTTTTGTGATGGTAGGCAAGTTAAAAATTACTTTAATGTAATTGGTGACTAATAAATGTTTATTTTCAAAACGTTCTTCAAGCATTTTCCATGCGACGGAATAATTCGCATCCGAAACTTGCAATGATTTTATTGTATCAGCGGCGGTACCTTTCAGTGAAAGCCACAAATAATTAAATTTTGAACATCCGCAAGGGCACTGCTTTTGTGGATCACTGATAAACAGCTTTTGCAGGAGCGCAGTAATCCACAGGTTTCTCACTTTTTTAACACTTGGTGGTTCAAAATTCGGTTCGGAGGAACCAAAATGTTGTGCGGCATCGGAAGGACCAGTAAAAATATTGAGAATTTCACGTTTTTAAATGGATTTATTGCGAAAAAACAATAAATGAGTACAATCGTAGCTCTATGTAACGCTGTTGTTATTGCACTGGCGGGAGCTTAGCGGTCCGTTATCCTGTTCGTTTTCGTTTGGGCAAGTTCGGTCAACACAGTTGTCGGTCTGGGTGCTTCGCGCGTGATTTTAAAATATTATTATTATTAGTATTTACAAAGAAAAATTTTTTCAGGATCGCAACGGAAAGTTTTCTAGAAAACCCCTCGAGTTTTCGAAGATACTATCAAGGCATGTCTTTTTTCAAACAAACGGTAATCTTTTTTAAACGCAAATTACACTCACATGAAATAGAGATGCAATTTTAAGTTATTTGCAAAATGTATTTTCACTAAACTGAAGAAATATTGGATAGGAAATGCAGAAACCTGAATAAAACCTACACAGGCATTAAAGACAAGATTGGGAACACTGGAACCAGAACCAGGTTGATGAAATACATAGGGAGGACAAAAAACAGTTAACCGCCCTAACCTAATAAACTCGACAGCAGTTCCTGTAATCAGGAAAAAAGCCCCTTGCCGAAAATAAGAAAGACCCACCCGCTATCCCAGTGACTTCCCACTCCAATCAAAGCAACACCTGTGTACCCTAGGTAAGTTTCAACAACTTTTTTATATGTATAATTCAAAAAAATAAAGGCTTATAACATGTTTTTATTTTAGAAGTACCAAAATTAGGGAGTCAAAGGGTTGAATGTTTTATCTACGAAGAAGGCTGACAAATATCTTGTAAGCTCGCAAGCAAGAAAATCCAGAAAGAAACAAATAAAATTTTGCACTTACGTAATTTACAAAAAAAAGGGCAATAATTGACTATTTGCAATATCTACTTCCAGGTGTGGTAGCTACTCTTCTAATCATATCAAATGTCTTGCTGTGCAAAAAAATAGACCTCTTTTAATAAGTTTAAAAATGTAGGCCTCGAAAATATTCTAATAAGTTGCCTTCATAACTCCTTACCAGTCTTCGTAATACTTCTGACTTTTTGGTATTGGACAGCTATCACCTTCATTATCCTCAAATATTCGAATTGGTTCGGCTAATTCCAAAGGCATTTGACCAAATTATCCTCCCTCATTTTGTTTTTAATTAAATTGTCCATAAGGACGTTTCAACTGTCTGATGTAGTAGGTACTAGAGTACAAAGACGTTTCCACTTTATTAACACGTTAAATCAGCAACACAAACACAGAATAAGATATTTTGAAAAAAATCTAAATCTCCAAATCAAAAATACTTAACAAAAATAAGGCACCATAACTTCTACAAACATGTTTTCATTCGCTACAGCTACGTCTCGAAAGCGCTTTGCTACGTCCGCTGGATGTGATCAATCCTAATCTCTTGGACTAATAACTGAGAAACCTCAACAGTCGTCGGTAATGGGCGAATGATCATAGTCAATTTGCCCAACTGCCTCTTAAACGAACGAAGAAACGACTAAGAAGCTTTTTCTGGTTTTTTTTCGGTACAACAGCGAAGGAGTGAACACTACCTGAGTATTGTTGTGCAAATCTTTAGGCATCGGCCCTAATTTTTATTGTTTTCTGTTATTTGGTGAGTCCATTTAACGCATCCAGTTATATATCAGTTTTTGTGGCTGGTAGTTTCCTCCTCTTGGCCCTCTAACCTTAATCATGGGGGACTCTTCGGGGGGCGAGGGCCCCCCGACGGTTAGTGCAGCACAAGAAAATGACAGTTTATCCAATGATTCTCAAAATCGTCCGTTGAACGCCATTATTTGTAACATTTTGCCACCGGATTGCAAAAAAACTGCTGAAGATATTTCCAGGCTCCAGTATTTTGATGTGCCCTCAGGTGAAGAGTTGTCAAAGTTATCGGCAGAGATCCAGATTATCAAGAATCAGTTCGAGCAAGACGCTGAAATCCTGCGGGAAGTTGCCAAAATCTCCGCAAACATAAGAAGGACAGTAAATCGGAAAACAAAATATGAAATCACCGATCAGGGGCCTTTTATGGTGATTCTGGAGGGGATTACAAGTAAGGTGGGGACTCTTCATCCTATGAACTTTGGGAAGTTACTTCAAGCGCAGAAAGTTCAAGGTATATTGAAAATTTCTAGAAAAGGAGCCAATAAAATCGGTTTGGAGTTTAACACCTCTGAGTCTGCAAATAAATTTTTATCTAATGAAACATATTCGACAGCTGGTGGGTATAATAAGTATATACCTCAAAGACTAGTCACTTGCCGAGGGTTGGTGAGGGACGTTGGTGACTTAATTGATGAGGATGATTTTTACTCTGAGGCAGAAGCCAAGGTTAACATCGGAAGATCGCTAAAGCGCGTTAAGATTGTTAATGTTCGCAGACTAACTAAAAGGGTCAAATGCCCAGGTGTTCTGCCTGGCACTTTTGGTTTCAAGACAGTTCCATCTAATGATTATATAATAACATTTGACGGTAAAACTCTCCCAGAATCAATCAGTATCTATAAAAATGAGAGATCATCCAGTATTTCATTGTGAACTGAAAGAACAGTTTTATAAGAAGAAACCATGCCCGACAGACCACTTAAATCATGAAGGTAAATGCAGCCTGGGTAATTGCGAAATATCTCCAAAGCCAACTTGCATCCATTGTAAAGGCTCTCATCAGGCCACTGATAGATCATGTCCGGAAATGGACAGACAGAAGAAAATCAATGAGGCTATGGCATGGTACAACTTATCCTTTTTTGAAGCGGCCAAACTCTTTCCAAGAGGCCCCAAATCAAGTGAGTTTAATCGCTCTAATGAAAATTTCCCTCCTATTCATAACACGGTTGCCCCCGTCTCTCAGCCTTCCCCTAGATCTGCTTCTAAAACTTATTCTGTCATAGCAAAAAAGCGTAAGTCCCCCCAAATAGAATCAGGGTATGATAGGGACGCCCACAGGGATTGTCTCGTGCCGCCGTTGACTAGGCAGAAGTTGAATCACACTAGCAAAAGTCAATCTTCTCCCTCATATTTAAATGATTTATCGTCAGAGTCCGAGATGGACACTGCTTCTCCAGGGGTTTCCTCCTCTGGTGAATTTTGGTATCGGTTTGAAAATTTAAAGAAAAAAGTCTTGTCCAATATACCCAGTAAAAGTGCTTACCATGAAATTGAGAGTCTTTTTGACTCCCTGCCTCCTCCCGGAGGATGCAGGTTTTAATTTATTAATGTTCCCAGATCGACAGTCAAATCTTTCTGTTAAAATTAGTAATCTCTCAATTATTCATTGGAACACTTGCGGTATTAGAAGTAATTGTGATAGTATTATTAGACTTATTCGTGACTTTGGTCCGGATATAGTCATGATTAATGAATCTTTTTTACTCCCATGGGAAGAGACATTTATATTTACCGATGCCTCTAAGGGACCAGATGATAGAGTTGGCTTTGGAGTATTTATTCCGTTTCTCAATGTTAGGGTCGGGCATGGGTTGAATAGCGCGTTTTGTATTTGCTCTGCAGAAATGGTAGCTATTAGTTACGCCCTAGATCTTATATTAGATTATAATATTAAACAGGCAGTAATTGTCTCCGATTCCAAAAGTGCCCTGCAGAGCTTCGGATGCAGTGCGGTTGAAGCTTCCAACAGCTACATTCTACTAGATATTAAAGCAAAGATTGATATTTTAAAGCGCAGACTTGGGGGGAAAATCCGAAAAATTGACATTTAGAACTTCTGAGATTAGTCTCCTTCACTGGAGAAGATCCGAAAATCCTCGACATTTGGAACTTTAAAGTTTAGTCTCCTTCGCTGGAGAAGATCTGACAATCCTAGACATTTGGAACTTCAAAAATCAGTCTTCTTCGCCAGAGAAGATACGAAAATCCTCGACATTTAGAACTTCAAAATTCTGTCTCCTTCCTGGAGAAGATCCGAGAATCCTCGACGGTAGTCGGCAATGGGCGAATGATCCTGGTAGTCGTGCCCAACAGTTATCTGTGAAACGCATCATTGAATTGAATTGAAGCTTTTTCTGTTAGGACTGTGTGTGCCGATTCGCAAATGTAATTTTCAAGATAAAAAGTTACAAAGGGTATTAGATTAGCTTTGTTTTTTTGGAAATTGTTCTGAAATGAAGTATATGCAAGTCTATGTTTAACAATGTGAAAGTTTCTTTTTTTGGGACCAAGTCCAAGTATTGCTATGTAAGCTTTAAAAAGTTTATCATGTCCAAACCAGACTCGCATTCGAAGAAATTCAATAATTCCAAAGCTGCGGCCAAACCAAAATCTAAAAGCACTGAAAGTTTATTTGCCAACTTCACCATGTGGTCATCATCTAACAGCGGTAGATTTAATCCCCCATTGCCTTCAAATTATTCGCTATATGGTTTATATTGGCAATCAGTTTTGCAGCAAAACCAATTATGTGATCCATTTAATACTTTCCTGCCACAGCATCAGCAAATAAGCAAATTGACAAGTAATGCTCAGCATCAAATATATCATTCATCTCGAGTTATCAACAGACAATGCAAGGACACTCGTAGAAATAGAAGTGCTGGTGGAAAACCCAGAAATTGTTTGAATGAATTAACAAAGGGTAAGTCTGAAGTGAAAACTTCATGTTTGTTCTTAAAGTCTGGGTGTGGGTTTTTTTTCAGTTTGTGAACTACTCTGCAAAAGGATATGGGAACCTATATATGACGATAAAGGAAGAAATGGGGATTTTACATTCACTGTTATGTCTTACAATGTACTAGCACAAGATTTAATTAAAGAACACCCAGAACTTTACAGAATGCATGACCCAAATGCTCTAAGGTGGAATGTTAGGTGGCGAAATTTGTATAATGAAATTAAAGTTCTTAGTCCTGATGTAAGCATGATGAGATAAATGTATCTGTGATTGATTTTATTGAAAATGCTTTTGTACAGATTATGTGTCTTCAGGAGGTGCAAAATTCACATATTGGAGCATATTATGATAAACTTGAAGCACTCGGTAAGATGTGACTCTATATGACAGTTCCAATATTAATTCTGTTGAATTGTAAGGTTACATTGGTATATATAAAAAACGAACCGGGTGTAGAGTTGATGGTTGCGCTATATTCTATAAAGCCCATTTGTTTGCCTTGGAGGAATATGAGACTGTAGAGTTTTTTCAGCCCAATGTGCCAATATTAAACCGGGATAATGTTGGCATAATTGCAACATTTTCACCCAAACGCCATCCGCACAAGTCATTTGTAATTGCAACTACACATCTATTGTACAATCCCAAACGTGAGGATGTACGTTTGGCTCAAATGCAGTTGCTGCTTACAGAAGTAGAGAGGTTGAGTTTCAGATATAAATTCAAGTAAGTGGGCCATGTTTAGTCAGTATCCATATGTGAAAGTTTTTATTTTAGGTTGAAAAATCCTTATTTGCCTATAATTCTGACAGGTGATTTAAATTCAACCCCAGATTCAGAAGTGTACAGCTTTTTAACTAAAGATTCATTGAACTATGAACATCTTAGTAATAGGTCTGTAATTGAAGCAAGCAGTAATAAGCAGAAAAAGTTTTTGGTGCCACCTCATTTGGGTATAACAGGTAATGAAGATTTAATGTTTTGTTTCATTGTTTAGAGTGTATAACCTTGCTTGCTTGCAAAACATTAGCCTAGCTTTCAAAGATTCTGGATTCCTCCTGCGTCTGTTGTTGAATCTAAATAGCAATTATATGGTATTTTGTTTATTGTTAATATTGATTTGTTCTCATTTAATCTTGTATGGTTTGATGAAGTCAAAAGTCGGTGCTTCTACCTGCTACTTCTGCGACAAATAAAAGATTCTGCAAACTGAATTTTCTTACCCCTTTTGATTTTTGAAATACAGAATATTTTTGGAAGCTTTGTATTTTGAAACACCCGTTGTATCACAGTTAATTCTAACGAAAAGTAAAACTGGGTTTGTTGCCGTTTTTTACATAGAATTGAGTGGTATACTCGGTTTTTTTCTATCTTCAATTATTTTCGAGTAACAAACCAAACATATTTAATGGGTCGCCCGGTTGTTCTCAATATTACGTCTAATATTTAAGTTTTGAAAAAAAAATCGACTTTTTTAGTTAACCATTGACAGGGTATAAAAAAACTTTATTTAATTTAAAACAGAACAATTTTGGTAAGTTTTATTTAACCAAAAAGAAATACACATTTTTTGACCCCTAATATAATAATAATAATAATACAGTCGAACTGCGATTTGACACATGAAAATTTCGAGTTATCAATAAAAACTACAAATGCATGTACTTTTTTGTGAATGAACATTTATTCATTCATTTTTAAAAATGGATTATACCTTACATAAATGCCCTAATATCTATGATTTTAAATATATAAACATAGTATGTATGCACATATACATACATATGTATGTACATATTAAAGTTTACTCTTTCACTGGAAAAAAGTCAGTTATTTGTGACTGACGACCGGATTTCTTATTTTGGTTTTCAACATAAGCTTCAATTTTATTTAAACAATCATAAAGGGAATCGGTGGTGTTTTCACTGGTTTTCAAATAGGAACGCAAGACAATCAACGAATTTTCAACCAATTTATTTGAAGGTGGTTGCTAAGAATTATGTTCCAATTCCTCCTCCATCGTGTCACTTTCGCAGGTATCTTCTATGTTTAACTGTAGCGGTTCGGATCTGCAGGACTCGATAATATCTTCCTCAGTAGGAAACTCTGAAGTAACAATATTCTCATCCACATGTATAAAATCGTTGATGATGCTACCTTCTGCTATACCTCTCATGTTTGTCCAAGCTTTAACTCGATTTCTATTTGGATTTCGTCTTGACTCTTTTCTTTCAGGTGTTCACTTAGGAAAATCAAGGGAATCTCATCTTCTTCTTCTCATTCAGAATACTGACCTAAACCGGCATTTTTAAAACAATTGGAAATTGTTTCAGGCTTAACGTTGATATTCCATGCGGTAGTTACGTCGTCAACACAATCCATTAGTGTAATGTTATTGTTTTTGTTTTCTTCGAAACGTTCAAACAGCTACATCTTTATTTTTTGAGCCACTTTCCACTTCTTTTATAACCTTGAATTTTTGATCAAAAGACAAAGCTTTCAAAGTACGTTTTGATGACATATCAACAAATGCAAAAATCCAAAAATGTCTTTAATATAATGTGTAAATTGAATAGGGACAGTATTTTTCACTTAGTATTAACTAGTAAGTCATACAAGTGAACTTAGCAAGCACAGAAACTGAACTGCTTGCATAGATACGTTACAAAGACAGGTTAAGATCGGTTGTAATTAGGGGGTTCTCCGAGAAAATTCGACTTATCGAAGTTGGCACCAAATGTGTCGTTCAAGTTATCAAGATATTTGAGTAATCGAAGTTCGAGTAATCAAGACAAACTAACACGCATTTCCTACTTTTGACGCTATTGCCAACCAATTTGGTTCGACTTATCAAAAATTCGAGTTATCGAAGTTCGACTGTAATAATATTATTATTAAAAAAATAAAAACAGACAACCTGGTTCTAATCATGCAAAAGAAAAAATCATAAATTGTTGAAAACGGATCGCAAGTGTTGCTTAAATTGTTCTCCATTAAGTCTTAAACATATTTCACACATAGTTCTTATGCTTCTTATAGTATTTATAAAGGTTATTTTATTCATTTCATATATTCTGCCATTGTTCGGTACTGGATGGTATATTGGAAGAAATCCAAAATTGATAAATCCAGTGACCTAAGTGGCCTTATCCAGTAGCATCGAAATGAAGGAGAAAACCTGAAATATTAAAGCGGCCCTTCCCGTGAAAATGCTACGTGCTGATTTTCTTATTGACACGAAAATCATGAGTTTTTTTGATTTAATGTAGTAGCACTTGTGAAATCAGCTTGGTCAGACCATATAACGGAATTTTCAAAATTATTTTCCGAATTTACTTTATGTGAGTTCCCACTATCAAACTCTATTCGGCGCTATGAATTGGCAGGATGTAAGTTTTGAACCAGATGAAATTTATATTTGTTGAGTTGGTTTTTTAAAGATCGTTTCAAAAAGGCAAACAATTTGCCACCACTGCAATTTATTTTGACACTCTTAATTAAGTTGTGATTTCCGTTTTTTGGGTTCATTATGGGTTCATTAGGGGTCTATCGGTACTCGGTAGTACGATGCGGCAAAAAAGACACGTTTTAATTCGTCGGTCGTGATTTCTCTCCTTACTCTTTTGGTCGTTTCAATAGACTTTTATTTAGTGAGTATATAATTAACAATTATCTATTAGTGACAATTTAGAGTGTTCTAATCTCCTAAGCTCTCCAGCTCCCCGCGTAATCCGGGACTATCACTAAGATTAAAAATATACTAAGGTAAGACCTCAATTCTTTTACTTCATACACATTTTACAGTCCACTTTTCTCTCCAATCTGGCTATTGTCTAGTTGGTCAAATTAACAAATATCCTTCTTTTGTCTGTTACAAATATTAGAAAATGATCCATCTTGAATTATTTAAGAACTAGATGATAATAAATAGTTTTGGCTAGAACCAAATACAATAATGCAAACCTGTTGAAATATACTTCTAGAGCTTCATTATGTCTTTTTCTAAGTTTTCAAATTTAATATTGACTGTCATGGACACCCAATACATGGACAGAGGTCTTTGTTTTCATTCAAAAATAAGATATGTTAAAAATCTGATTACAAATTAAAACTAATTTAAAACCAATAGAAAAACATGTTTTCGGGAAGTTTGGTATTGTCTCTACCTGCTCATCTTGATCTTTGTATGGTCTCTTTTCTTACAATTTTTATAGAATACAGAGGTGTAGAAGACTTGTGTTCCATGTGTAATGAAATAATCTATGAAGAAGAGAGCATGTAAGTCATCATGTTATAGAAATGTTTGGCCATAACATCGCTTAGTGCAATATGTTCATATGGGCCTCATTTGCATCAAGTCTTAAAATCTAAAAAGAACTCAGTTACTTGGCGGAACTAATATGTCAAAGGTGAATATGAAGAGTTTCGTGTCGATAGAATATTGTGTCTATAGTGATATGTGTAATTTATGAGCCTTTTTTGTACCTGTGTAAAGTTTTTAATGATAGTAATCTTTATTGTGTAACAGAGAACTGTTTCTTTACAAGATTTATTCTAACATCTGTAAACTAGTAACTCTCCAGTAAATTAGTAGCACAAGCAACTACATTATATGCACTATACCACAAATCTATGTGTAATTAATTTGACGGAAAACGTCCATGTCGTTACAAAAGAGATTAAATACTTCTTCAATAAGTACTTCCTCAACTGAAGAACTTTGATCAAACATTGTTTTTTGAGGTTATGAAGTGAAATACAGTCCTGGAGGGTACAATAAACAACTGTGTGGCAGTTCCATAGCCATTTACCATTCACATAAAACTGCAAAAATTGTAGAAACTTTGTGTGTTTTCAGTTTGGGTGATGTACTTGTTAAATATTTGGTGCCATATTGGTGAACGTATATAACTAAAGTATTTTAAAATGTGTTCAACATTTCTAGTGTATCTCCATAGGCTTGATCAATGACTGTTTAACTCTTTTAACAGGTAATTTTTTTATGGTAATTTGTAGAAATTGCATCCTGTCTGCCGGGCTTTAAAATAAGCTTTAACAGCGAAAGGATATAATACTAGATTATTTTAATCGTCTGTGGGGAAAATTTTTCTGTACCAGACGACGCGCAGACGAACATTTTTAAAATGCCACATAATTTTCCCTTTATAATTACATCACATATTTTCTTCAGGTTTTGGCTAGTTAGTAGTAGTAGTTAGCAACCCAACATTACAAAGCAAGAAAATCAATGGCGCCAATTGACTACCCTTTTCATACTGTAGACTGTTACACAGATATGATTTTATGATTTGTGTTATTTTGTTGCAAAAGTTTTATTATTCCATGCAATAAAGATTATTTTATTCATTTTTTATTTTTTATTTAGTTGGGGTGCCTGCTTATCATACAGACAAGACACAACCATCAATGATTTCTCGTTTAATAAAGATATTGACAATTTCAGTGTTGCTATTGAGTATATTAATACATTGCAGATGATTCTCAACATTTTCTATTGTTGGAGCAGAGAAAAACCAATCGACAAATATCAAGGTCTCTCGAAAAAGCTCTGATTCAGTTGCACAACAGCGAGAGAGACGTAAGCGTAGTAAGCTCGGAGAATTTAACGAAAAACTTTGAGCTTTTCGGTTCGGGCTCTATTAAGCACAAATTCTCTTTGAAATCTGTTTATGCATATAATACGGAAAATCCTGAAGGTACCACTTTTCAAAATCGATGGTTGATGGTAGATTATATATTTTACAGGTAAGATTATTTTCGTTTCTTATATGTTTTGATCGCCAACGTTTTATAGTTGGTTTGCATGCAGAGTATTCAAAATAAGATTCCCTACCTTCTTAATTCAGAAATGAACGATATGAAAATATGTTAAATACAAAACTTGTAGAGTTTCATCTAGATTTTTTAACTTTGAATTTTTTATGTAGCGTTCTATTCATCTGGGGTAAATTCCACCGTTCTTATTTATAACATAGCACCTTGTATATTATAGGATTTTTTAATTCCTGGGGACATTCGAGTAATATTTCATGTATATAATTCTATGTGTAAGTCTTGTTCTTCGAATTCCTGAATTTTATGTCCAAAATGACATTGACAGGCGCTAAAATAATAATTTTTCCTATAAGGGAACCTTAATTATTTAATTTTGAGTCGACTGCTTGTCAAAGAGAGCCTATTCTAATATACTTAGTCGATATTTTGGATGTCAATTAATAAGGAGTGAGCAAAAATTAGGTACCAAATTGAAATTATATAAATCGTAAAAAGTCAACCCCCTATTTTTCTAATTTTATCCTATTTGGTATCAAAATTAAGGTAATTTTGTAAAAGACTGTATATTACAGAAATGCATAGTTTCCGAATTAATTGTCAATTTAACATTTTCCTATTTCAATAATGTTATAATTCGGATGTTGTTTTGTTATTAGTTGGCCTCATTTAGCTACTAGACATATGGACGCCCTGACTATGCTGACAGTACAGGAACTTATGAAGCAACTACGTAAAAAATTTTTGAGAAGATTGAGATATATCGAAATCCTATTAAATTTTCAGTCAGAGGTGCAATAGTAGGTATGCGGAATTACAGCACCTGCATTTTGGTCTTGAAGCCGTGTAGATACAAGTATTTCTACATGTATTTTTTGATGTTAGCTATTTTTTTTTCCGAAATTGTGCTTGTAAATCGTCGCAAAGTGTTAGTTTTAATAAACTTATAGGTTTAACCTCTATTGAAAATGTAAACAAAATCAAAATCACCAAAAATGGTTCTTAAAAGTTTAAACATAACTTTGAGATACTAGGTATCACACAGGAAACCTCTAAATGGAAAAAATGTTCAACAAGCACCTCCTATTGAGAGAACGCGCATTCCTTTATCCAAAGTTTAGTGGACAATTTGTTTCAAAAAATGTTGGTATTAGAACATCTCTTTTTCAATATGCAACCTAAATTAGACCTAAATGTAAGCGAATTAATAAATTAATTTAATTAGTATATTTTATTCAGTATTTCAAAGAGATATCCTCATTTATCTCGTTTTTAGTATTTGGATTATGGATTTCTGTTATACACCCAAAAGATATATGTGTGGTAACAAAATTTTTGCTAGAAAGTACTGTTTATTGCATAAAAATTTAAAAAACAAATTTCAAAAAAACAATTCCATCGGTTTTTCAAAGAAACTTCCACAGGCTACTGGAATATTATTTAAAAAACTTCTTTATTCCTCCTGCTTCGGTTGTTGATTTGAAGCAGCAAGTATTTTGTTTATTGTTAATATTGATTTGTCCTCATTTAATCTTGTAAGGTATGTTGAAGTCAAGAGCCGGGGCTTCCACCTTTTGGCCATGTTTTTATGAGTTTACGAGATATCTCTCTTATTAGTAAGGAGGGATGTGCTATTTTTGCGACAAACAAAAGATTTCGCAAAGTGAATTTTCTTCCCCCTTTTGATTTTTGACATACAAAATATTTTGGGAAGCTTTGCATTTTGAAATCCCCTTAGTATCTCAGTTTGTTCCAAAGGAAAGTAAAAAAGTGGGTTTGTTGCCGTTTTTCATAGAAACTTCCACAGGCTACTGGAATACTTTTTACAAAACTTCTGGCTTCCTCCTTTCTGAACAGTTTCAGTCAAGCTCTGAAGAAGTCAATAGGATGATTGGCGAAACGTTGGCAAGTTCGACTCAGCAAAAATCGACGCAGGAGGAATCCAGAAGTTTTGTAAAAAGTAAATTCCATCGAAATAAGCAAGCAGGCGCAAAAAAATGCCAGTTAAATTTTTTTTAACAGCAATTATGATCTGCTAAAAATACATGCAGAAATACATGTAGAAATTGCATTAATTTACACAATAATTTCACTATATTAATGATAAGAGTGATATTTCATCAAAATATTTTTTTAGTTTCATCAAAATTTGAATAAAGCATTGTGGTTTAGGGGTTCAAATAAGCAAAAAGCGGATTGCGTTTGCAAATTTGACATTCAACTAATTTCGAGTACGTTTCATTTTTCTTATATTGTCCACAAATTAAGTAATTTAATTTCATACCTTGAGAGTAAATTAGGACCTTCTAGGTAACGGATATTTGATTATTAAAAATGTTTTTGAAGTATCGTCCAAACTTTGGTATATTGTCCTTAAAGCTATTATGCCACTATTGGACCACAATTTATGACCAAGATTTACTGTTTTAGTGGAAAAATCTTATTGAAAATTTTTTGTAATGAACAATTAATTTGGTTTAATGTTGCTCTGACTTCAATTGCATTAGTCATGTGACTAGTTGGATTTATGTGCAACACAATATTTTCTTTGAAATCTGTTTTTTATTATATAATTGAGGAATGCAAATGTATCTAAACTGAGTTCTTTTCGCATGTGTCCATAATTCTTCAATCGCAACGATTCATCAATGTCAAAGAAATATGAAGATTTAAATTTTTAAGAAAAAGTATACGTTATAGCATCCATTAATTTTGTTGAAATAAAATTTATAAATTATTGAAATAAAATGAATCTATAAACAATCTAAAGTTTTTGGATTTTATTATTGAGACAACAAATTTTTCACCGGCGCGGTTAGTTCTTTAATGATATTTTCCCCAAAAGTGGAAATAGACGTTTTCTCTTGCACTTCTCGGCGGCATTAAATTCATGGTCGCTAATCGGTTTTTTTTTAATTTAAACTGCACTCTCGCGAAGTTTTCAAAACATGTTCAATTTTCTGATTAAATTAGAACAATTTAAATATTTTTCCCCATTTAAAATGTTATTTTTCAAATAATTAAAATAACTTTCGAAATAAGCAGCATTTCTGAATAAGGCCACATTTCTTTGAAATACTGAATAAAATATACTAATTAAATTAATTTATTAATTCGCTTACATTTAGGTCTAATTTAGGTTGCATATTGAAAAAGAGATGTTCTAATACCAACATTTTTTGAAACAAATTGTCCACTAAACTGTGGATAAAGGAATGCGCGTTCTCTCAATAGGAGGTGCTTGTTGAACATTTTTTCCATTTAGAGGTTTCCTGTGTGATACCTAGTATCTCAAAGTTATATTTAAACTTTTAAGAACCATTTTTGGTGATTTTGATTTTGTTTACATTTTCAGTAGAGGTTAAACCTATAAGTTTATTAAAACTAACACTTTGCGACGATTTACAAGCACAATTTCGGAAAAAAAATAGCTAACATCAAAAAATACATGTAGAAATGCTTGTATCTACAAGGCTTCAAGACCAAAATGCAGGTGCTGTAATTCCTCATACCTACTATTGCACCTCTGACTGAAAATTTAATAGGATTTCGATATATCTCGATCTTCTCAATTTTTTTTTACGTAGTTGCTTCATAAGTTCCTGTACTGTCAGCATAGTCAGGGCGTCCATATGTCTAGTAGCTAAATGAGGCCAACTAATAACAAAACAACATCCGAATTATAACATTATTGAAATAGGAAAATGTTAAATTGACAATTAATTCGGAAACTATACATTTCTGTAATATACAGTCTTTTACAAAATTACCTTAATTTTGATACCAAATAGGATAAAATTAGAAAAGTAGGAGGTTGACTTTTTACGATTTATATTATTTAAATTTATATATATATATATATATATATATATATATATATATATATATATATATATATATATATATATATATATATATATATATATATATATATATATATATATATATATATATATATATATATATATATATATATATATATATATATATATATATATATATATATATATATATATATATATATATATATATATATATATATATATATATGATGACACTATACTCCGGGATATCATCCGTTCGCTCGTTGAACTCCGACTGGAATCCTGCAAATCCTGCATCCGACTGGAATCCTGCAGACGTTTCGCCAAAATCTCACTTGGCATCTTCAATGCTCGCGCTCCGAAAACACTTCGAACACTTCGGAGCGCGAGCATTGAAGATGCCAAGTGAGATTTTGGCGAAACGTCTGCAGGATTCCAGTCGGATGCAGGATTTGCAGGATTCCAGTCGGAGTTCAACGAGCGAACGGATGATATCCCGGAGTATAGTGTCATCATTATATATATATATATATATATATATATATATATATATATATATATATATATATATATATATATATATATATATATATATAATCTTCCAGTGATTGATGATTAAGTTCCACAATTAATTAGTTACAACTTTTTTCTTGAGCGAATGTACAAATATGTTGTTATTCTTGGCAGAAATGTTCGAATTACCTGTTAGTTACGTAAAATCATATTTGGTGAAGTTATTGTCTTTTTTGCAAAAATATTAAAATAAGTTGCCCTTGTGTTGCCATACGAATCTTTTTGCATAAATTAAAATCATATACAGGTTTTGTTAATTTTCATTCTACTTTTATTTCATTAAACAATCTATGAATGATTTAATTAAAGTGCATTTGCGAACAATCTATAAAAAGAAGTATTTTTTGCACATATATTGTGCAACATATTTGTTGTTGATTAGGGGGTTATTGTTCAGCAATTTTCACTAACACAATTTTTCGGGAAAATAAAACGTCAGAAGATGACTAACACTGTGTATTTTGTAAAAGACAAATTATCCCAACATTCTTATTACCGACAAAAGTTCTTTCCGCTTATGTTATGACTCTGATACCGACCGACTCTCGTCTCTCTATGCAAAGGCACCCTGCGCGGAACTTTATTGTAAGTTACAGGCATGCGCACTAACCCAAAACTGTGACATTAAGGAAAAATATTTAACAATATTCAAGAAATAAGGAACAACAATATCAACAAGCCTTTTTTATTTACCACAACAGGAAACAGGTAAAAACTTAGGTGTTACATCTCCTGCCTCCTGTTTTAATTTGATCTATGTCTTCTGGGACAACATCTATAAGATCTTACATTCAACTTATTATATCTACAGTTATTTAGTATTGTATTGTATTGTATTATTTAGTATTTGTATTTACTTCTTTAGTGATATTAAAACAATCGCGGTACATAGATCGGAACATATCTGAAAAAATTTTTTTCTGTTTCCCCCAAAATGGGTTTCTAGCTTATTTCATCCCCTAATTCCCAAGTTGCTTTATTAAAGTTTTGACGAAATATCCCTTCTGTGATTATACGTTAGTGGTATCAACATAATCGCTGCACATAGACCGGAACTTTTCTAAAAAAATTATTTTCTGTTTCCTCAAAATCCGTTTTTTCTTATATCAACCCCCTTATTCCCATTGTTTTATTCAAATTTTCCAATATCCCTTTAGTTATTAAAGGTTACAGCAAAGGTATCAACAAAATAGCTGCACATAGACCGGAACCTATATAAAACAAACTGTTTTCTATTTTTCGAAAAACATTTTCTAAAGAAATATTGGATGTAAAAATTTAATATTCGTATCTGAATATGAATATGAAGAATATTTTAGAAAATATATACTATTTTTCTATAAAATGGTGAATGCCCGAACATACTAAATATATTAATTTATTAATTCTCCAAAACTAATTTCTGTGTGATTCTCTTACATTTAGGTCTAATTTGCTAACATACTGAAAAATAGTTTTTCCAATACCTACAATTTTTGAACACATTGTCTACTAAACTAACGCTGTAGTCCTTGCATTCTCTAAGCTAAAAATCCATTTACCTTCTTCACAGAACTGGGAAATGTTGTTTGATACATTTCTTGTTCATAGTAATTTATGGAAAAATATAGAATTGAAATTGAACTTTCCTATCGGTAACCTTACAATTGTTTTAGAAATATTGGTGATATCTGTTAATAATGATGATTTCAATTCAGGTAAACTAGAATGTGCATTGTTATTGTGCTGTTAGAAAATTTTGCGGAAACTAAGTTTTAGTATTTTCTATCGGCCGATTGAGTGGATTTTTTTCAAATTTCTGGGACCTGCCGTTTCTTTAATGCCTTAGTACGTCGTAGCCCCCATACACCCCTTATACATAATAATAAAATATGGTTTACGAGAAAATCGTATAGAAAATGTCCAAATTGTTATCCTTATGTTTTGTTGTGTACCATGGCAATGTGTGTGACTTTTTTCAGCGGGAATACTCTGCAGGATACTTCTACAAGTGATCTTAAATTAATATCCAGGCATAGGCTGCCAACTAGAAACGAGCTGAAAGGCATCAAAATTCCAAACAGCCTGATGGGTTCGGACCACATAAGTTTGATGGCCAAGTTTTTACTGAAAACGTGAAAACTTATAGGTAGTGTTCTTATTTCGTTCTGTATATTTTGTTAACCATTATTTAAGGTATTTTAGAAATAAAGGCCGTGTTTAAGCAACACAGAAACGTAATATGTTTTGTTAACTCCAGAAGTATTGTCTAATTTAAAAAAATATATATTTTGACTATATTATGGGTTTGTTTCCTGACTATGTTGCGTTGGGGATTGAGAACAATAGTTCGTTTAATGGCCCCCACAGACGCTCAGTTTTTTAATACAGGCCGTCTGTGCAAACCTAGTTTGTGCAGGCATATCGGTGCGTTTGTGTGAACGTCCGGCCGACTGCGCAGGCCGTTGGCCTAGCCTGAGCGCGAAATCACACAGTGCTTGAATTTAGCCTGCGCAAACTTGGAAACCTGAGCGTGTGTGGACTCGTTCAATTGATTTGTTCAGTTTTAAGGTTTATTTAGAATCCAAAAATAGTAAGCAACAAAATGACGAATGTTAACAAACAGTTTTTAAGCGAATTTATTGAGGTATACAAAAGCTTACCATGTTTATGGAAAATAAAGAGTAAAGAATACAGTGACAGAAATAAAAGTCCGCAGCCTATGATGTGTTGGTCGAAAAACTCAAAGAAGTTGATACGGGAGCAAATGGGAAAGCCGTGGTTAAAAAAATAAATAATTTAAGGAGTTAATTTAGGAAAAAATTAAAAAAGTATTGAAATGCAAAGTAAGTGGGGCCGGTACAGAATATGTTTATACTCCAAACCTGTGGTATTATGAAATGCTGATCTTTTTAAGTGATGAAGAGACACCACATGCCTCAACGAGTAACCTAGACGATGAAGAACATGGAATAAAGGTAATAGGATATTGTTGAAACACTAACACGGTCAGTCAAAAAAGTCTATACATATTATTCCCCTTTATTAAGTATTCCAAGATTGAACCCAGTAAATGGTAAAAAGAATAGAAATAGAAATTCACAATTCGCATTTGCAATTTCCATTAAAACCATGCTCTGTAATTGAAAAAATATGATCCGCCACCAGGAGAAGGCACTATATTAACATGCTTCCCATCAACTGCTCCCAAGCAGTGTGGAAAATTCGATCTCTGTTCAAGTTGTTTGACTATGGCTTTCCAATCTTCCTCAGATTGTGGAAACTAAAAAAAAATATATTCATTTAGTTACCTGTTTATTTGTTTATTAAAATTTTATTAATTTTTTTTTCAGAGCCCACTTAACGTTCTAAGTCCTGAAGTGCATGATCCTGGAGTTTTTAACATCGAACTAACAGAAGATTCCGAAATTTTATCACGCCCTACTAGGTCAGCCAGTTTCACTCCAAGTTCCTCAAAAAAGAAGAAAAGACCAGAAAACTCAACTGACATATTAATATCAAGAGCATGTGCACAATTAGTAAAGAAGGAAAACCAATTTGATACAATAGCCAAAACTATAGCCTCAAAACTAAGAAGCTTGCCACATGAGCAACGAATATATGCTGAAAAGATCATTAATGATGTGTTGTTCGAAGCAGAACTAGGATGCTTAAACCGAAATTATAAGTTGGTGCAAGAGCCTGCAGCTAAAATTCCAATTGTATGGAAGCCTCTCGTCAAGAACAATATAATAATATGCAGTCTTCCTATGAACTGCATGTTATGCAACCCATACTTTCTGTATAACAACAACACCAACAACAAGGTAATGAAAATTTAGGTACTTTTCTGCGTGGGTATAACCCCGAAGCCGAATATTAATTTGTAGATATGGTTTTCAACCCTTGATTTTGGAATTAACATTTTATGTATTTGAATTTTTGGAATAAAATGTTTACTTACCTTAATGAAGTCTGTTTTCAATACTTAGAATATGACTCTGCATGTTTCTAGTATTATTTGTCTCAATGCCTGAGGTGAAATTATTGTTGAAAACTTTAAATCTTCATACGTTCGACCAGTAGCGAGAAATCTTAGGGTAGCTGTTAACCGCTCATGGCATGAAATTGATTGCCTCATGCATGTGTCTTGTTTTTGTATTAAAGAAGAAATGAATTTCAATAATTTCAAGTAGGTTGTCTCGTCCACTCTTAGGTAGTTAAACCAATCCTGCTTCTCAAGTTTCAAATCATTTCTTTTGACTAACCAATCTTTGGTCCATTTGCTTCTTTGAACCAACCATTGCATTTTTTGCTTTTTCTTTATTGCATAGGCAAGCAGAATGCAATATAATGCCGTGTCTCGAGAAGCCATTTTCTTTTACTAAGTATAGAAAAACCGTGCCAAAACTAATGAGTGTGAATTTACCCAGTTAGCTGTATAGAAAGAACTATGCTATAAAACTGCGTGTGTGTGGGACAGGCAATAATACAGTTAAACTGCACAAATTGGCCCGCACAGTTGGCCTGTGCTAAAAAACTGAGCGTCTGTGGGGGCCTTAAGGTTCTCGCATTTGAACAAAAATAAAACAAAACAAAATAAACAATGTGAAATGTAGGTCTACAAAATTGAGTAATTGTGGAAATTAGAGTAAGTAATTAAATATTAGACGTTTTTTTAAAAATAAATTTTGACATATTTGGCCAAGATTTTTCTTCTTTTAAAAAACTGATGGATATAACTAGGAGAATTGGACTAACCAATAAATATATATAATTTTCATTTTTTGTTGATGGTAGGTACAATGTAGTTATCAAAAAGTTCCAAAAATTTTTTAGTCTTGGTTTTCCTTTTTATAAAGTTTTAATGTTTACGACGAGTCTGTTTTTTTTTTATTTCTTTATTCGTGTCAGCTCAATCTCGGAAATGGATATTCGAATTAATTTTACACATGAGACTTGTTTGAAATTAATTAAGTAACATCACTGTAGCAAGACGAGTTAGTGCTAAACTCCCAAAAGTAAATCTCGAATGTACTTAATTAATCTCAACTCGTGTATCATTGAGCTTGTTCAATCGTGCACAACTGTTGAGTGATGCAATACCCGGCGAACGATGCGATGCACCTACATAGTGGCTTTGCTTGTATTTGTTTATTATATTTCAAAGAGTAGTGGCAACAAAGTTATGAAACAGAATGGATGTCGCATAGTTATTCATTTCCAAATATCCACCACTGGCAAAAACGTTGGTTTGTCAACTTGTCCAAAGTTATTTCGAATAGTGTTAAATAGTTACCAAAAAAATTGGCACTTTTAAAACTGATATGAAACCTCTACGCACGGAACGTTGCCTTAGTATTCTCACAGTAACGTGATATTTGTTTGTGCAATACCGTATAGGGAAAAATATCACGGTCATTTAGCAACCTGTAATTTGTATAATAACCAGAGAACAAACGTTGTTTTCTGCTCCCGTCTGTAATCGTTCTAATCGAAGGTAAGTAATGTTAAAATGCGTTATAAAATTTATAACATGTTCACAAATACATGTTCCTTCTCAAACTTTAATTTTGACACCAGCCAACCTCAAAAATAATTTTTAATCTTAAAATCGGGAGTTAAAAATTGTCAATTTCATGTTTTTTACAACTTAAATTGTTTTTAACTGAAAAACGGTTAATTTTAGCGGCATGATGCATGAAAACTTTTTTATTTAGAATGTAAATAAAAAATAAAAATAGTCCGGTAAATCCGTCTTGAGAAAGGCAAAAATTACAGCCTACAGATCCGGACTAACTGCATTAGACGCGTAAAACCGAATGCACAAAAGTGTCCTAGAATGCGTCATCTAGAAAGAATGGCTTCATCCTCATCGAATGCATCTAGTCCGGATGTGACTTGAATGTTTTTATTTTTAATCCTATTTTTTTAATTTGCTTAAACAAACTTTAACCTAACTGTGCCAAAAAATTGAGACGGAAATTTTTTTCCACAGATGCTAGATTTTCGCCTTCTATTACCCCAATCATTTTGTGTATTTGCAGGAATATAAAATGGGTACCAAGGGAAGGAAAATGTTAACACTAATGACAAGCAAAGAGAAGATCTTCCAAAATATGAGTCTACCAAAGGAAGCACAAAAAAAGAGCAATTGCAAATTTTACTTGCTTATAAAGAAGGTCAACTATTTGAATGTAGAAAATAACTACTGAAAGCAATAATGCCACAATCGAGGTGATTCAACAATACAACAATGAAGAATTTCCCAAAAATATGATTAACCCTATATCTAATGAAACAAATTATAACATCACTTTTGAATCTTCTAATGACACTCACCATTAAAATAACTTGAATCTAGAAATTCGTGAAACTAGTGAATAATGAAATAATTATTCACTAGTGATTAATAGTTATAATTAATATTTAGTAAATTCATGTATAATAACAAGTACTTACAGCATAGTCGTGCATAAAGTTGATTAATAAACAGTCATAATATATTGGAATGTTCTAAATCACATTTTCGAAACAAAATTTCTAGTCGTATTTTAAGATGTAAATCAAAGATATTTGTGTCTTCTTAGATATAAAGGCCCTGGAGTAATTAATAAACGCACTAGAAAATACATTTTTATGCAATAATTTTGTTTCTAAATTCTATAGGCTATTGATTATATTTAAAAAATCAGGGGTAAAAGGAACTAAGACGTTCAAGAAATTTTATTGTTCTATATGTTAAGTTGTTCCAAAAAGAAGGTAAAACCACTAAATTTCGAGGTGTATATTTGAGAAGTTTGTCCACTTTTTGGAAAGTCCATAGAACCTATTATAAAATGCTCTACGTTAGAATTGACTAAGATGCTGTATTTCAAATTTAGTAGAGTTTTTAGATTTTTTCTCGTTTGTTGTTTCTTTAGGGCAACTTTAACTTCTTAATTAATAATACTTAATAATAAGAATAATAATAATAATTTAATGTCAATAATGAATAAAATATAAAGTTTGTTCTAAATTAAACAAAATATTTTAAATTGAAAATAAAAATTTACTTATTTAAGGTGAAAATATATTCTTAATTATTTATACAAGATGTTATGTGTTTATACATATAACATCTTGTCTTTTATCAGCTTGGGTTTTTTAGAATTTAAAATTCTTTACTAAAACTTCAACTATATTTCAAATGAATTAATTTATTTGTAGAAACTTATCACCATTATATCACACACATTACAAAATCCACTTTTTTTGGTTAAGAAAGTTGGAGGATCGAATTAGTGAAATCTGCAAGAAGAAATCTAGAACCTAGAACAACCTAGAATTTTTTTTGAAACAGTTTTCTAACGAGCAAGCCATTGAAGCAGTAGTGTATCACACTGAAGCGGAAACGTCCAACCTTTGGCCCGTCGGGAATGACGATGATTTGCCAAAACATTAAAATGGAAAAAAAATGGCATACCAAATAATGCAGAAATTAAAAATTAATGATTACAAAAAGCATATTCCGAATAATTTATATTTTTTAACAAGTCTTTTTGTCTCCAGCGAAACATGTAATGCCAGGAAAGAAACAGAAATACTTAATATTTTTCAAGATATCTTTGCTAGTTCAAATGGAAAAAATATACCCCTAAACATATCGGTTTGGTACTGTTAGCCCCTCATGCGACCAAGTCAAAAAAACTTGTTGAAAACATCCACGCTTGTGGACACTCAATATCTTACACGGATATTCTAAGCGTCGTTCAAGAAGAAATTTAACTTTATTTAGAAAGCGATTATTATGCTACAGATAATTTAGATATATTAAAAGAAACTTTGGACAAAGCACCCGCATTTCACGAAACACAAATTTCAATAAATGAAGCTATACCTAGAAACTTTAAACTTTTGCCATATAATGTAAAATTGACGATCCCTAATGTGTTCCATTCAAATGACAAAATATTCCATAACAAGTCTAAAAAAGTGATACAAGCTGAGGAAAATCGAGGCATTTTTGTAGAAAAAGGTTAAAATCTTAGTTACGACATTATATATCAAAATACAGCTTGGTGAATATGCAGGATGAGCGACTCTGATAATGAAGAGATTAAATTCACATTTGTCAAGATTTCTTAAATTAATTTTTGAAAACAATTGTCCCGCTATGATCTACTAGGTAGAATAGGTCATGATGAGTATTTAAATGATGAAGTTTTTCAAGACATTGTTAAATTTGTTATTCGTTTATATACATCAAACGAAACTATAAAATGCATAAATGCCATCAGAGAAACCAATCAGCAAACTGCCTCCAACTTTAGATAGTCTCAAGCAACATTGTCGTAGTGTTCATTATAAAACTATAATATATTTGAACAGTACAATACCTACACCAATTAGGTATACCAAATTATGGATGGACGGAATTTTGAAAACGGAAAAATGTACTGATAACCGAAATAATATTAGAAGAGGATAGCTCAGTTCTAAACACCTGCCGATTTAAAAAAAGGTATAGAGATATTTAATTTTCTGTTAAATAAGATTTTTTAATTTAGGCAAAACATTTTAGGCGTAACGGGTCATTGTGTACCTGTAAAAGAAAATTTATGAAATGTATTGGTTCCTGTGAATATGTAAAATCAATATGTAGCAATAAGCGAGACAAAAATGATCCCGGACCAACACTCTAATTTATCGGACACTGAAACAAATTCAGACTGAATGAAGAATAAAAAACAAAAATCGATAACTTATTATTTTTGCAGAAGATATACGTCAATATTGGATTGGAATGGGAAGAAAAGTTTTTTAGATTAACTTTTTATTTCTACTTAATTTTAGATGTTATCATAGATATAATTTTAGTTTTTATTCTAGCTTCTATGTGCACTTAAGTATTATTAGTTTAATATGAACCCTTGCCAACAAAATATAATACAAATAATTACTAATATCAAATAGAATAAAACAGTATCATCCCTATGTAACAACTCATTAATTAAAAAGTTCAACTATGAAGGCAAATACGTATCATATTCGCTACGAAAGAGGATCTACAAGCAAAAACGATCCTAAGCGCACGCCGGGACCGCTAAGTCGTTTATTGCCTGACCGTCTTCGCAAATTTGACCCTTTCTCGCTGATTCGCTGGCGGCCGTGATATTCACGACATGGCTTCACATTTTGCTACTTTAAAAAAAAAACGATCCATCGGATTAGGGTTTTTGAAAAAGTACCGAATTCGTTGATCTTCAATGCATATGGTTTATAGAAAACATTTTGTTGATAAACCAAATAGTTTTCAAGTTACAACGAGGTAAACGATAACATAAAAATGAGTTTTCAGGGCAGTCGTTTATTCGTTAAAGACTCCTATATAAAAGCATTATGCGGTGTATTTTTAAAATGGAAGAAAATAATTTCTAATAAAAATATTGAAAAGCGGTTTTGTCAGTTTAATGGCTGTATGTTGTAGATGACAAAAATATAATAATAATTTTTTGTCATTTTTATTATAAAATTCACCCCCACCACCCCCTGCACCATACGATTTTTGGATGACCAGTTGATTTTGTATTATTGGGGACAGTGTAAAATTGCGACAGATTTATGTTTTTAAAATCTCTTGTAGTTTTATATAGAGGATTAGTATATTCATAGCTGAAATGAGAAAAATTAAAAGTTTTTGATTAAAGTTACACCAAAAACAAAAATTAGACATTTTAATGAAGTTTTTGTAGTTCCCGTAATTTTTGTAAAGTTTTTAATAATATACAGACGGTCCAAATGAATTTTTTAGGGATGGAAATATTATAAAATATTTTTTTTAAATGTGTCTGGACTGTTAGGCCTTTAAAATTACTTAAACAGCAAATACCCCTTAGCCTACAAATTCACGATAAGAGGCAAAAATATGTAAAAACAATTTCAGCTTGAAATGGTTGTTTGCGTCTTGAAAAGCTGTTTTGTTTACGTTAACGTAATCAAATGAATATCGGTATTTTTGATGGGATTATTTAAAAGGTAGTTTATATTTAGATCCTAAAATTCGTAAAATTTCTTTTCAAAACATTTATCTT